TGACGAATTATTAAATAGAGGTGCTTTATAAGAGTACCCCAAAATAAAGGAATCCTCATGAGAGTTATTTAGGAATACTAATAACAAGACTGATGTCGGAAATGATATTTAGCTCATTGCAATGCAAGATGCAATTGATAACTTTACCACCTTGTACATAAATAATCCCATATTTTGTAATCTTTAGTTATAACTCAGATCTGGTCCAAGGTTTGTATTTGAAAACATTCTCTTTCCGCAGTTCGTAATTTCTTTCACGACGAGACACTTGTCTCGGCATTTGCCAGCAAGTTACCTCTTTTTCAAAACATTATTTGAGTTGATTTTATCTAAATAAATATGTAACGCTTCCAAAATCCGGATGCTTTTATTGTGTTCTATTGACTGTCCGTGGTAAAGTCAGACATAGGCTTTACTTATACAATATGTCCGATTATCTAAAATAAATAATGTTTTTATACTACTGCCAAGCCATTTAAACTTTTGTAAAGACTTCAAATCTAGAATTTGTTGTATTTTATGTTTTCGTCTCTTGATAATTGGCGTTATACTAAATATCTTATTTCATTTATTCTTTTATTAGTAGGGAGATAATCGCGCCACGTTAAAATGTTTCTAGTTATCCTAGTTTTCTATCTTTTCACTTGTCTTAAACAGCAATGACCATTCTTAACCGTTTCGAATGTTTTTAACATTAAACGATTTAAATCCATCCTGTGACTTCCGAAATAGTTTATAGTTTTTTTTCTGCTTTTAGTGTACTTTTTTCAGCAACATCTTCTTAAAGAAGGAATTTCATCATGGATAAACAAAAACATTGAAACTAAAAGTCATAACTGAAGTTGTAATGTGAACGTTTACATACATTTTACAATATTACATTTTACAATATTATATAGTAAATTTGTGATTAATATACTTCTTGATTGCATTTCCAATTATCCAGAGTGAGATCTTTTTTGTTTGTTTGTTTTTTATTTTGTCCACAGTACCAATCACAGTACCTATCGATAATTATATTATTTCAATCCTTATGACGACTTTAAAAGGGATATCTGTTTAACAATAATGAAAGGCTTCTAACAGTCAGAAAGTATAATTCTCGATACTGTCATTCATTGAAACGGCCCTATTACGGAGTGGTTAGTACTATTTAATTGGTATTGTAATGATCCATGGAAAACATTTCATTTTTAAAGTTTTTAATATTTTAATATTTCAGTAACGATAATCCGTCAACACAACATAACATTTGTGCTAGACGATCAATTAATTAGATAATAATAAATGATTTAAAACAAACCACCAAAAATATTGATAAAGTATTTTAAGAATGTCTCAAAAATAGCATCAGTAGCAAAAATAGCATCAATAACATAAAATACCATTAATAACAAAAAATAGCATCAATAACAAAAAAATAGCATCAATAACAAAAAATAGCATCAATAACATCAAATAGCATCAATAACATCAATAACATGAAGCAGTACAAATAGTATAAAATATAAACAATAGCATTCACGTAATATATTTGTACCAATAGCATAAAATAGCATAAATACCATTGAGGTAAATATTAAAGCTAAACACTTCACAGACATAATAAAACTTAGAGATATTATATTTCCGATCCTTAAAGATCGTTCAGCACGACATTAGTGTTGTGCTTGTGGTAATTTAGTTTATTTTTTTTTATTCGGCTATTTTCTTGTTGGGTGGTTCCAGTATTCCTCACTTGAATGCTGTTGAATCAGCCTTACGATATGTGGCCTGCTTTTTAAATTTGTCTTTTGACGTCTTATCTGTGAAATGCAGGCTTCAGAACCTCTGATCTCCTTTCAAAATTTCATTTTATTTAGTTCCGCCCATTGTTTTCTCGTTTAGGGCACATATTTTTTTTTTACTTGGGGACCATATGCCGCTTTTCATGGAATGGCACTTACGTGTCACATTGAAGGTTCCATGATAACCGCCATATGAATACATCTGCGGATGTTTCAAAATTCAAAATTGTACTAGTTCATGTTAAATGTTGAATTCTGCTTAAGCCGGTGCTAGGGGGCGTGGACAGTAGTTTGCACTTGACATTACCGTCCATGAACAGGCTCAATCAAACCGAGCTTGCAACATTTTCAATTTTGCCGTGTTGGGGTTCTTTAGGGATTCTTATTTTCTCTATTTTATGTCAATTCAGTAAAACTTATGTCAGTTAAGTCATTAACAATAACATAGAAAAAGAAATCAAGCGTTGCCTTTTATGGAACAAAACATGTACATTTCAAAATTTTAATGCTGATACATTCAATAACATACAAGCAAGAGCAATTTAAATTGACTAATCAAATCACAATAAAAATAGACCAAACTGTAACAATGAAATTCGAAATACAACTAAACTTAACTAATTACCGACCAAAAGAAATATACAAAATATATCTGCCCGATTTTCATTTAAGGTGACAACAGACACTTTCCGTGGTACTACCATAAATGTCATTTAAACCAACTTATTTTAGTAATTATTGTTGTTTCTTTAAATGTTGTGCATAAAATAACTTTGATCTTCATAAAAAATAACATATTTGAAAAAAGCCTTTGTAAATAACAAATTTTGAACAAAAATTCTATTATTTTAAATCGTCCTATCAAAGTCATTTTTTATTTTTTTGTCATCAAACTTGTGGAATATAAACATAATTATAATATCTAGGGAACTATGTCTCAGATTATTTGTATTTTTTACGTAACGTCAAACATTTTTGCGACTTTTTTCACCATACATATTACGTAATTAAAGATAATTAAGTCACTGAAAGAGATAACAAAAATCCCTGACACGGTTCCCTCCGTAAATGAATTCCCTTTCGTGTATTTTAAACCGCATGTAAATTGCTAGAATTTTTAAAAAAAGTTATGCCGTTTCAAAGTTAGTCCGACCCGCATCAAACGAAGTGTCATAAATCGGCTGTTCTCTCTCAGACCTCTGCGTTTCACGCTAAATTATTGCACAATACGCAAATTTTGCACCAAAGGGGTCACAAGATGCGTTAACAACTTTTTATGACCCAATGACATCTGACCAATTATATTAAACTGTCCGTCTGGTATCTGTTGCAGATATCACGTGACTATTGGTAAAATTTGGGGGATGGAACGCATTTAAAGTGCGTATTTCTAGCGGGATAATTTATTTGTTTCACTTTTGAAGTTTATTATCAGCTTTATTATTATATCATATCAGTATCACACTGCCTGTGTATTCGTGTATGGAATTCCGTTAAAAATTAATTAATTAAAATAACGAAAAACTGAGCTAGAGTCCGTGGTACAATGTACAAATAAAAACGGGACATTATATATTTTGTCCGACAAATTTATATAAATGCCTGACATATTTTAATAGAAATAAAAGGTATCACTCTATCAATATGATCTGACTTTGATTTTTATTATCATGAATAATCATCTACGCACGCCATAAATCTCCATTCTGTTTCTTCTGGGACAAAAAATAAATTTCATACTTTGTCTCAGGTTTATTAGTACTGTGCTCGATTTACTGGCAAACATTATATTCAAAACATTTACTAAAAAAATATGTTTTCATTTCTTTTCGATTGATTCATAAAAAATATCATAGGCAGATTATCATAAAACATTTATGTTTACATAAAAAATGTTGTCTATTTTGGCGTCCGCGCCGAAGCGCGACGCCCTTATGGAATGAACTCGGATTTTGTGAAAGGGCGACATCAACTTCTCGGGCCTTTTCGTCGGTGATAAAGGGGGCAGGGGACATATTCGAATGATGGTCACGGTCAAATATTTTAATAACTCAGAAATGGTGTTTTGAAGGTACTGATAACTTCTGATACTTCTCTGTCATTGTAATACTTTCTTGTTTGTGTGTAGGAAAATGAGAAGTATTTTTGGGTTTTTACCCGAAACTAAGCATTTTGGTAGCTGTGTATGTATTTCTGACTCTCCGAATGGAGGTGAAAAAGTTAAAAATCAAGCTTTGACAGTTGGCGCCAAACAAGTAAGAAATTTCAGATAAATTTTGTGAAAAATCTAAACCTATGATAGACACTTTAATGGTCATTTCTGAAAATGACATAGCTTGCACTGCGTGCAACTGATATTTTTAAAGGAATTATAAATAATAAAGGTGGATTCTGGAGTATGCTGCACCTTCATGAAGATTGCCCATATTGGTATATTTTAGGTGTGATTTTTGCTGGGTGGGGGTAAATTTAAATTGCTGTCAGTCATTTTTTGAAGGAGCAATGCATGCAAACTATTACTTTCTACAATGTATGTCATATATCATTGAATAATGCTGTGCAAGTGGTAATCTGCCTGTGAAACAGATTTTGAAATATTTGGAATTGTGTTTGCCTGTGAAACAGATTTTGAAATATTTGGAATTGTGTTTCTGGTCACACTGAAATACAAAATTGTTCATTTTTAGGTCCCCTGCCCCCTAAAAGCCGATCATTCCGATTGGTATGAGGGTTTATTGAATATCAAAAATGAAATGTCGCGAACAATTAACAGCAACTAGAGAATTTCGCAATGCAAACATATTCAAATGAAATAATCTTTTCCGTCAATTAATCGCGCTCTTCGGGTTTTTTTATTAAGCATTTTGTATTACACAGTGGGCTATTATGGCCTGTTACTGTTGTACATGTATCGGTAAGCTGTAGAATGATGACTTAGTCTGAAAATCTATTTATAGAGGGATGTACTATTCGCCGGTCTCGTATCGGTAATTCCCGGTCTCACCCGGTCTATTTTGACCGGGATTTACTAGAGACCGGCGAATAGTGTCCGGTCTCTCCCGGTTTTGGAGTATAATTATGTTTGATATCATTACAGATAAATAAGTTTTTTTTCCAAAATGAATGTTTGACACTTAGTTTGGTTACAATGATAATAAAACACAGATCAACTCTCAAAATTGATTTTCATTATACATAAACATACAATTCGAAAAAAAACACCACCAACAGCAATAGCATGTTTCATTTTATTTATATGAGATAAAAACAAAAAATATGTACAATAATTGAGTAAAAAGGTACATTTTTATGGTATTAATATGACACCATCAACTTTGAATTATTTTATTTGTTATTGATGTTTAGTAAAGATTCTGAGGAATTATTCTAAGTTACAAATTAAATTTTATGAATTATTCAATTGATTGATAATTTTAAAAATGATAAAGAAAAATACAAGTGTACATGTACATGGTTTAAGAATAAATAATATAATACATTGAAAGATTAACCATAATTTACTGACTTTTTCCAGTTAATTTTTGACTTATAATCGTCGGTCAATATGACAATTGAATTCTTAAATTTTATTTTACAATTTTAATAAAAAAAAGTAGTAAACGTAAAAAAACTCAGTATTAAAATAGCACATGAAACACAAAAAAAGAAGAAAAAAAGAAAACAATATTCATAAAATATGTAAAAAAATATTAAAATAAATATTACAATTATTGTATAATAAAACAATTGTGCTCGTAATGCTTGGTAATATAACCAGTGTCATATTGTTACTAAGTGTGAACAGATACCTTAGGAGGGGGTCTTCGCTAATAGCGATAACATAATAAGGGACAACATACAAGTGTGGTGTTGATCATGCGTTACACAAATGGATTAGAAATGATTGTATATATCTGTTGCCATAAATAATCACGATATAACATTTATGACAATAAAAAAAACAATTATAATATAATATTATATATGTATTTTATTATTTCAAAAATGTAAAAGAACTATTGATTTTGACTACTATTTTGTATGGTCCAAAGAAAATACCACATGAACTTGAAATTCTAAAAAAAATATCCAAAAATACCCTCTATATAGTATAAATAAAGTTATACCATATGGAAAGTATATTTTGTATATTAATGACCTGTATATTTTGGATATTATCGTTAATATTGATAAAATTTCAAGTTTCCACAAGTAATTTTCTAATATGTAGCATGCCTACCAAAGTTCAGTATGTCTTTCGTCCGCTCATTCATAAGTGATAAACAATTCTGTTAAAAAACAATTAACCATTGAAAAGTTTATAAGAATATCTTATCATCATATGTCTATTAGTTCATCTTCACTTGCTGCATTTCTTGCTTGGACGCCCTTTGATGCTCTGCATCAATGCTTTTCTTGTTTTATATTGTAAGAAAACGAGGCTATTAGATCCGTAAAATTATCCATAAACTCAATGTAATGTTTAACAGACTACAGGACAAACAAATTATTATTTCATACATTATTGATATAATAGACAGCTTCAATGTTTGTACCATTCCCATGGTCGTGCGATTTGCGGCTACTCTTAATTATTTATGTTACATCTTGGCCGACTATTTCTTAATTTATAAAAAGGCTAAATAAAATGTAGACGATCAAAGTCAAGATATTCATAAAAGATGTACAGTATTTGTACGATACATGTATTAAGAGTATTATGGACCGGTAATGCAACGTAATTAAAAACGTTTAAAAACACATTTATTTGGACTAACTGCTTCAAAAATTAAATCACGAATGTGTTCAGAAAAGGTTGATAAATCTACTAAGCAAAAAATCTCATTTTAGGTATTTTCACTGACAATTGTCACCATTGTCACCTTAAACACTTTTTTCATTATAAACACATAATTTGAGTAACATCACGCTGACTAATCACATCGTATAGCAATTTGTTCAATATCAGTATGTAACCATTTAATTTCAACAATATTTCTCACTTAGTCAATTTCTGAGCATTATTGTTTTATTATTATTTTTATTATTAAAATTTCAGCCTTGGTGTGGACTCTCGCAAAAGTTGCCATCTATGTGTGGAGGACACTTACACGTGTAGCCATTCGGATTTGGTTCACATTTTCCTCCATTTTTACACTGATGATTAGCACATCTAGTGTCTATAAAAAAATGATAACAATGATGATAGAAAAAGTAACGCTAATAATGATGATAATAATGACGGTGATGAAAAGATTGAGTAAAGAAATGTTCGAACAAATACAAAATGTTTATTTATGGAATGTACCCGTATACGTGTGAAATATTAAAAAAAAGTAAGCCACGATTATAAAACGTTGGGAGTGACGTCATATGATAAAATACAGGCGCATGAAAGAAAAATAATGAAAGAGGCAACCATTATATCGTTCTTGTTTCAAGTGTGTTAGAAGATAAAACAAATTGTTACAGAAAAACTACTTACCAAGTTCGCAGTTTTTCCCAGAATACCCGCGCTGGCACTTGCAAACATAGTCTGCCACTTTGTCCTCACATTGGCCTCCATTTTTACAGGGATTGTTGGAGCAATCATCAATGTCTAAAATTCACAAAAAAATAATACAATAAATATTGAAGCAATAAAATAAACACATAATAGTGTAGGAAACGAGGAACGGTTAGTAGGACCCTACCGGTCTATGTCTAGGAACAGTAAGTTTTATATACCAAAATGTTCACAAGGGTTCGCAGGATACGAAACGGTATTTCGTTTTTACCCAAATGGTCGGATAATCAAGAAAATCAAGATGGCGTCCAAGATGGCCACCAAAATTCCGCAAAAACATTAATTATCATTATTTGGCAATTTTTTAAAAGAAGTCACTTAAAAATGATAAGAAATACATGTTCACTATAAATAAATTGGTTTTTGGTCACTTTTATTGGAGAAATGTAAAATATTTGAAAGAATATCATGGAAAATGTATTAAAAAAATGACCTAAAAATTAAATTTGATATAAATTTTCATTTCCATGACAACACATTTCAATTTTTATTTCCATATGTACTTTTGTGCAAAAATACAACATCAACTCTTATCATTTATGTCAATTTTAATGTTTTTGGACACTTCTCCTATGGACGTATTATGATTTTAAACGGGTGGGGTATAATTAAATTCAGCTAAAATTTACATCTCTAAAATTGCGCCTATTTCTGATAATTTATTTTCCAATTTTTTGTATTTGTGCTGTTGTTGACTGACTTGTTTTCTCTTAAATTCATTTCATAGAAAGTGCGATGTTAGTAAATATTGAAATTTTAATCAGTTTTCATGGTTGCCATGGTAACATTTTATAAAAAGATAACATTTTATAGAAATATATAATAAAATTTTGTTGAAATACAAAGTATATGTAGTATATCTATTTAATTTAGATTCAACGTGTGGAAACAATTTCAGATTTTAAAATATTTAGCAAAGAACATTATTCTGTGATACAGTCAGTCTTTCGATTCGACCATTATTCTTATATTATGAGTATTTTAAATGTAAAATTAAATTATCATCAACGACGACGGCGGCGTTTATCATGACCAACATGTTGCGTGTGTTTAATATTGGTTTTTTGTGCTGTTTTTTTAAAATTATTTTACAGATTATTGCTACTTTATAATACAAGGTATCGGCCTGAAGAAAACCATATTATTCTAAATAAGGGTTTGTAACTCTTATTATTTCGACGCTAAACCTGTTGTTTATCACAGATGTAAATAATTATGGAGCTTATTGTAAGCATGTATGTCTATAAAAATGAAAAAATATTAGAAATCTTCGACCATTCGGTAACTACTTTGCTTTACGCATTGATCTCCCCTGAATTTTTCGGCGTTAGTGTACATATAAAGGGAAGTAACCGCTTCAAAAAAGTGGACTACTTTAGGCATTGGCAATTAACAGCATTTGACTCTGAAATTTCGCTACCATTATTTGTTTGGTCTGACGACCCAAACAAATAAAAACCGGTCTTACACCCCCATGTAAGACAAATCACGCCATTCCAGCACGCCTTTTATGAATGAATTGCGTCATTAGGAACACATTATTATGCCGTTGCGAATCAAGTTGTAAATTCATACGTTACTAGATAAGAAAAAGTGCTATATGAAAATATTAGTTTTCGTAATTTCTTTTCCAAATATTATTTATTTGTAATTTGCAAGAAAAAAAAATTAAGTACCGTCTGTCGTCACAGACCGGAATATCTAGCTCTGTTGAAACTCGACAAAGCCTTGATACCGCCGCCATAAACAGTTAACCTCGAGCTAGATGTTCCGGTCTGTACTGGCAGCCGGTGTAAGATCCTTAAAGTAAGTTTCGGTAAATTATTATTCTTGCACAATTCTGCGTTACTTTTTGCACAAATCGTGCGTTATTTTCACATTCCAACGTTACTGGATATACACGGTGTTAATGGACATATCAAATTAAGACTTACTGTAGCATACAACATTCTGCCATGTACCGGAAGCTGTACATGTGACATGTGGTTGACTTGGTGCGTAACCAGTGTCACATTTCACAGTAGCCTGTGACAAAAACAATGTGCTGTCCCACTCAAGATGACCATGTTCAATCTTTGGATTACTGCAGTCTGAAATACAACATCAACATCAATTCGTAATGGGAAGAAAGATTGAAAAAGTATTATAATTAATAATTATGTGAATAAGTGTAATGACGTCATGACTTAATCAATAAGCATAGCCATCACGTCATGACTTTATCGATTAGCATCGTCATGGCGTCATGATTGAATCGATAAGCATCGCCATGACCTCATGACTTAATTAATCCGCATCGCCATGACGTCATAACTTAATTGATCAGCATCGTCATGACGTCATTACTTAATCGATTAGCATCGCCATTACGTCATGATATTAATCGATAAGCATCGTCATGACTCAATCGAATCTAATTGTAAAGCAAAACATTATTTATTACAACTTGAATAGCTTCAATGAAAGTTTGGGACACAGTTTCGTTGAATTGTTCTTTAGAAAAATGAAAATGTCTGGTCAAAATATTAAAAAATTATATCTAGATTCTATATATTTCTATATGGGTAATTGTTTATTTATGATTGACACTGCCACAAAACAATCACTTAAAATAATTTGTTTTCATACATGCAGTTTATTATTTCTATAATTAAAACAAGTCTAACGCCAAAGGTTTTTGAAATAGAAACTTTGTCCTGGCATGGTAAAACTGAAAATATTTGCAAATGCCACTCCATTAAACATTGTTTTGGTTGACATGAGCAATTTCGAACTGCCATTCACCCCATGTCGTCTCCATTCCCCACCGGTGTAAACAGGCTTTAGCGAATTAAAAGTAAGACTCAAGTTCACTTGAAGACTTACCAACTGGCTGGCATGTCGCCTGTTCCCACATCCCGTTAGCCTGACATGAAATCTTAGGTTTATTTCGCTGATATCCTGGAGCACAAGTAACGGTGGCTGTTGCACCAAACGTAGAATCTTGCTCACTATTCATTGTTGATTGTCCCTTTTCAATTGGTGGTAAAGTGTTTCCACAATCTTTAAAATATATATGTATATGAAATATATAATTTGTGTACAGATTCGGTTCTTTGTAACACAGCGAAAAGTAGCAGACAATGAAAAATAAGGCCTTTATATTTGTGTGATAATGTTGGTTTAGGTTTAAAAGAAAAATTTACAAAGTATTCTAATTGATAATTATGTGAATTATGTGACGTCATAACTTAATCGATAAGCATAGCCACCACGTCATGGCTTTATCGATAAGCATCGTCATGGCGTCATGATTAAATCGCTAAGCATCGCCATGAGCTCATGACTTTATTGATTCGCATCGCCATGAGGTCATAACTTAATTGATAGGCATCGCTATGACGTCATTACTTAATCGATTTGCATCGCCATGACGTCACCGTTTCGTTGCAATTGTCCTTAAGATAAATGGATATATCTTAAACATGGTCTAAATAAAAATAAAATCATATCTAGATTCTATATATTTCTATATGGGTAATTGTTTATTTATGATTGACACTGCCGCAAAACAATCACTTAAAATAGTTTGTTTTTATACATGCAAATTATTGTTTCTAAAATTAAGACAAGTCTAACGCCAAAGTTTGTTAAAATAGAAAATTTGTCCTGGCATGGTAAAACCTAAAATATTTGCAAGTGCCAGTCCATTAAACATGGTTATGGTTGACATGAGTAATTTCGAACTGCCATTCACCCCATGTCGTCCCCATCCCGCACCGGTGTAAGCGGGCTTTATCGATTTAAAAAAAAGGTTCAATGGAAAGACTTACCAACTGGCTGGCATGTCGCCTGTTCCCACATCCCGTTAGCCTGACATGAAATCTTAGGTTTATTTCGCTGATATCCTGGAGCACAAGTAACGGTGGCTGTTGCACCAAACGTAGAATCTTGCTCACTATTCATTGTTGATTGTCCCTTTTCAATTAATGGTAAAGTGTTTCCACAATCTTTAAAATATATAATTTATAATTATGTATAATTATGAAATATATTATACATGTGCAGATTTGTTTCTTTGTCACATAGCAAAGAGTAGCTGACAAGGCAAAAAGAAAATTCAAGGCTTATATCAAATAATGATAATGTTATATGTTTAAAATATTTAAATATCAAAATGCAGTAATATAAATTAACAATTTTGGAAATATTGAAAAAGACTATACATACCAGTCACGTGACAATACACAGACGACCATTTTCCGTTCGCTTGACATACAGCTTCCGGATTTGAACTCGTGTACCCGTGTGAGCAAACGAGAGTAGCTTTTGCTCCATATTTTGTTCCTTCTTCCTCATTTACAACGATAGAACCATAAGGTATAGATCCTGGTTCCCGGCAATCTGTCATAGAAATTTGAATGCAAAAACATTAGTTCTACTCGTAAAATTTCGGGAATTTCCGTATGTAAATATGAAACTCAATAACCGAAGTGGTCCGATTGAAATGACACATTGAGAATGGACAATTGCTGCTTATTTTCTCTATCTATCTATTTCTGAGTACTGCCAACCCCTCTCGTGAGTGTTATAGGCGATATTCATGAACATTTGACCATTTCTCAATTAATCATTTAAAATTTGAAAATGATTTCATCCTTAATCAACTTGAACAACATACATGTAAATTTGATATAGACAAGACGGTACAACAGTAAGCTATGGGATGTATACATTTCATACATGGTCAAGGGAGACCAACGTGTTCTATAAATATAATTGATTTGTATAAATTTAATCAATCAATATTCAAATTGATCGAATTACAGATTTAGCTACACACTGTTTGATAGTTATAAACAAAAGCACTCTACCTTTGTATTTAATGTATACAATTGATCGGTTAAACGTTAAATAACTATGATAAACTGTTGTTTTTGAGCTACGGTATTGTCATATTAATCATTAAAGTGGTACACCTCCAGCTGCGGAGATATACAAATTCTCAATCCCAAAAGAAGTTAAAAAAAGTTAAGGATATGTACAAGAAATAATGTTCCTTTAAATAATTTGAAGTTTTTAAGTTTTAAATTTGAACGTTTTAAGCAATATGCGAAGAATTAACTGATAATTTCACCTACCCCTTCACTAAATAGAGTAAGGGCTAGTTTCGCTTTTTATTTATTCATTTTATTTTGTGTTATTTTAAGGTCTGTAAATTTTACTGGATCTAAAATAATAAAAGTCAAACCATGATTAATCTTGACTAAATTTTTTCCAATTTAGAACACTATCAATATTTTAATAATTTAAATGAATCTATACGCATGCTACTTTAATGGTATAATAGGTATGTCAACTGTTCGTGTACAACCTAGCCTAGCGAGGAGAAAAATGGCTGACATTTATCGTTTTATCAGGTATAAACTGTTATTGAGGACTCGCTACAAAAGACCTATTCAGCATGTATATTATCTCAAATAAAGTATTTTCAAAAATCTTAAAATTTAAGATTTCATATGATGATAAAGTAAATACCTGTTATCACTCTCTTTATATTTTCTCTTCCAATTTTTGAGCCAGTAAAGACGGCTAAAGTGGCGACAAATCAAATTACCCATAATGAAGTGGTAAAAGAGTAGGTTTTTCCTCCTTCTTGTACCTTTGAAGCGGTTACTTTGACTGTTTTGTTGGTTGTTGAAGTCTGCTGTTTTGTCTTGCCATATTTCTCCGACAAAGTCAGCTCCGACGCGTACGTTCTGTTAAATTCTTCTTCGTCGTCGGTGTTCCCCCGATGGTGAATATTTCCAACGTATCCTAAACGCTTCATGTCCCTCTCTTGTTTCATGATTCTCACCCTTATTTGTAATTTAGCTATATGTTTATATGTGTATTTGTTTAGTTCATAACTTTTCTGATGAAACTCTGAGTTGCGGGGTCTTATTTATACGAGCTCTGTCTGGGTTTACCGTCGTTGCGTCAACAATGAATTTTGAACCTGGTTTTCCAATATTTCAATACCCGCTGACAAAGCAATTAAATAATAAATGTATGTATACAGCGCACAATTAATTAAGTAGCAAACTCTAATTTATTTTATATATAAACAGCTTAAGGGATTACAGCGGAACGGAAGTAATTCTAACTTTATATCGCAGATATGTGTTCCAACCTTTTTCCCCACCAACCCCTCAAAATTCAATAATTTGTCAAATCAAACAAATTGAATCGTTTCCTATTTATTATTACGAGTTTCTTTATTGGCATGTCTTTTTCTGACTTGAAAATTTTAGATATTTTTTGGCAAAAGAATGTACAATGAGTCTTGTCAATTCAGTCGGTTATTACCGTTCATTGAAATTAGTTAAAACGGATAAACGCGACACTCCTATCCAAGTATGTGTGTTAACTAACTGGCTGATGTGTTTGTCATACAACGGTTGAACCTATGTTCATAAACCATTAACGGTAAAATTTCGTTTGTTTTCATATTTTTCTAGTTTTTTCTCGGGAAAGTCATTTTAGATACTTTCAATCCTTCATTTTACAATACTTTTGACAATTTAGCAAAAATAAATAGAATATTCAGCTATAGTCACTTTAAGCAACAATGCATGTGCTAAAACCTATATGAAAAAGGCCATGCAAAAACGTATCATTTAAATACATGATTCCTTCTTAATTTCTGGAAGTATACATAGAACTTCTTAGGTGGAAGTATTTAAATATATTTCAATTTAAAATTTACATCATGGCTTTATGACAGATCTTTAACGTATCTTTTCATTGGTCGTTCAGAGGGTACAACTATGTCGGTACCAACAGGTTCGCGTAACAATTTGTATGTTATTTCCAATGGAAATACCCCGATTTGGTTCGTTAATCTTATATACTTATATACTTGGGCAAAGTAATCAATCTCATAGCAGTGATCTCCCTGAAGTCTTTTGCAAATTATTGATGTGAGGAAATGTCTATATTTTCTAAAAGCCGTCAACCTTTGGAACGGATGCTTAATTACCAGTACTGTAGAATGTCACATTCTTATCACTGGCTATTATTTCGGTTGTGTTTAACGTCGCGCCAACAGTGTTACGGTCATTATTACGGCGACTTTCCAGCTTTACCGGTTGAGGATTGGGTACACTATGAGAACCAGTGACGCTCTGTATATAAGCTAGCTGGATAGCTTCCTCACATTAAAGAATCCAAGTCTGACACTGATGGGATTAGAACCCACAGCGGTGAGGGGCAAGTCGTTTAAAGTCAACGTCCTTATCCACTCGGCCACGTACACCTCATATCAATTTGGCAGTCCATTATTTAAAAGTACCCATATAAAATAGTGATAAAAATCAAAACAGAAAGGGCCCATCGCGACATACTTTGATCTTTGTTACGAATACAGTAGTACAATATCATAATATTACATCTATGTTGAAAAGAGATCAGAATCGGGCACTTATTCATAGTTGCAACGTAAACGGGTACCAGTTCTAAGAGGAAACTATATATATTCTACACATTCTACAATATTCTATTTAACACATATTAAAAAAGAGTGTTTGAAGTGAAAAAGAATCATTTATTTCAATACTAATGACGACTTTTAAAGGGATTACTGTTTAACAATATTAAAAGGTTTTTTTCCCGTTAATTTCCGTATTTTTAACAGTCAGAATGTATAGTTATCGATACTGTCATTCATAGATTCGGCCTTAAGTGTGCATCTGTTGGCCCATAAGCAGAATGACTGTGTATTTGTATGGGGAGATCAATAAAAACAACTTCAGTTTATGAAGTGAAAGCAAAATGATATCCATATATCTGGCTGAAAAATGCCGCCATTACAATAACAAAATAAAATACAAAATAAAAGTACCACATAGAAAACAATAAAAAAGTTCAAACTAATAGCCAAACGAAACATCTATTTCATAAAGAGAAGGTGGAAAGGAATGTGGTGGAAGAAAAAAATGTCAAATAACAGGAAAATGTCTAGCGATAAGACGTTCTGAAAATTTCTTTGTTATGAAGAAGCTGAACGTTGATTGTTAGATAATGTTCACGTGTAAGCAGATTAGTTTCTGATTGAGATTAAATTAACAGAAACGCAAAAGTGGTGTTTATTTACCGAAATGATAACTTGTGTTTAAGAAAAGAAATTAGCCACTATGACATAAAAGATGTTTTTTAAATATATAATGGTAAGTATGGTATTTAAATCACCTATAGCTGCAAGATCGAATCCTCAACAAACCAGTTTTTTTTTTAATTTTGTTATCTAGTTATGCCTTTCTTTTAACTATACGAGTATGTAACAAGAGTGGATAAATAGTGTGTTTAATTATTAAAAAATATTTTTTTTTTAAATTTCATAACATTGATAAATATTTAATTTTTTAATTTGTATCGGACAATGACTCGGAAGTCATGTTTCGTAAAATATAATAATAGAATAAGTAAAAAATAGACGTGTTAGAAAGCAAATGTTATATTTATAACAATTAGATAAACACTTACCGTTGTGACATACTTTGAATATATTAAAATATATTTTAATATTTTTTTTATATCTAAACTCTTTCTCACACTGACAGCACAATTGTTTCTCTTAATTTCAGTCATTATGAATATAATAAAACAATTTTACTGCAATGGGTGAGAACATACTTCAAAATGTATCAAAAAATATAATTTTTTGTTCAGTTCTAAACCTTCGTGATATGACGTCCACAAATGCGATATTTGTTAGTGGTATTGAAACTAATAGATATTGTACAATCATGAAGTTGTGAGTTTTGAAATTTTTATTGAGGTTTTATAATGCATGACAAAGATTAATAGCTGATTATTTACAATTTTATTTTTACTGAGGTTGATCAAACATGTCAAATCTGACATGGACTGTTACCGGCCTCGTAAGACCTTAAAATATCATCAACATGCGAGTATCTAAATCATATAATAAGTTTATCAACCTATCGATATAGATAGATGTGTTATTACATATTTTAAGAATTTTAATTTAACATTTCTGTATACTTCGCTCGATTATGATATTAAATCTTATGCATGTATAATCAAGTCATATGAATATATGTATATGTTCTTCTAAAAAACAATACCATATTTGTATCAGAAATTAAAAACAGGAGCACCGCAAAGTCGGCCAGAATATAAATTTGTATAATGAATAAATATAATCTTTAAATGAAAACAAGCCAGAACAGAACAATTGTTGGTCTAACTTAATCGTTACATACTTACATGTATTTACATATACATGTATGAAATAATGTGATATTTTAAAAATACATGTACATGTAATATATATTTTTATATACAAATATGTTATAAACGTTGCTGTTATAATTTTAATTCCTTTGTATTTTCATTAAAATATATGTCTGAGAGAGAAGAGAAAAAAACCTATTCCTCAAATATGTTTTATATTCATTATCCTTAAGCTGCGAAGAAATTTTCGGGGTAGGAAAAATGATAACCTAAAATTCACGATTGATTTATGTTACAATTTTAAAGATCGATATTGCGACTTTCAAAAATCTAAGCTCTTGTAACACAATGACTACGAAGAGTTACTTAATTATAGGTTAAGGCTAATTTGCCTTTCAATACATTATTTGTAAATGGTTAGAGATAAATCTTCAGATAACTTTACACAAGGCAAAAAAATCAAAATGCTATGTTAATAAAATAATTTCCTTTTTATTACCTCCCTTACATTAGAGACACTGTCAGTTCACTTTATGTCCATGATATGATTATTTGGAATCAGCAATGAACGGAAGGGTATCGGGCAAATTCATGGTTGAGATATGTGTTGTTGTTTTTTTTTCTATCAAACAAAAACAATGCATCACACAGAGTATGAAATATATGAAATATCAAAATTGAACTGTTGTCTAACCTCTTTGCCCACAGCCAAACTTTCTTTCATATTAATTGCAAAGCATTTAAATGCAAATTCATTTGAAAATAAAACGAGACTTGTGTATGAAAATGAAGATGTGATATGTCTAAATTTTGACAACCGAATAACAATAATTTAACTTAATATATATTTGTATAAAAAGGTGCTCTTAATTTAATATATTTAATTAGTATACGTATTGCTGCATTTACATTTTTTTATAAATCGGATGCAAATTTGTTTGCAAACATTTTTCTTTATATTAGGCCAGTATTATCATTGTATGTCGGTTGTTACGAAATATTGAATATTCAACAACAAGTATCTCATCAACATCGGTAGATATGTGATTTCCTACCACAGAGCTTGAACAATGCATTTACAACACTTATATAACATAATTTAAATCAGTGTTACATATATCATACTCTTATACCGTTTTCTTTCACATTTATCTTCTCAAACTGTAAAATGACACTATCGTACAACATGAACTTAAACATGAGTAAGTTTAAGAGCGATGACGTTTGAATTCATTGTTCCTTACTTCACTTTAAGTCTCTAATGGAAACTATGTGTACCCTTTCTAAGGAAACTGTTTCGTCGAATACTTGGTGCTCATAACCGATAAAAGATTAATCAATTCAGTTCATTGAATCTCACTAAACATTTGTTTCTTCATGTAACGGCTGTTCAAAGTCAATAAGGTTTGAGTTCGAGTTTGTTATTTGGTCCATTTCAATACCATCACATCTCTGTATCTCAATTGTTTCCGGCATTTGACAGTCATTTCTACTTTTACCATAACGGTCCTTTATTGTGTACTTATCTTTGGTTTTACACTGAAATTATATATGAAATTAATATAAAATACTATGATAATTGTTAATAATAGTTCAATTGAAACAATATAGCCATTTTATGTATGTCTGAATTTTGTGATCAAAAGGAAAATGAAAGTGTAGTATATACTTCTAATACGACTTACCGTTAGATAATAACTCATACTCTCGCATAGAACAATACCATATTCTTTAACAACATTTCTCCCAAAAGCCAGTATGATGATGCTGATTCCAAGAATGAGTGCAGATATGATTACAACATCAATTCTCCTGGTGCACTCATTAAACCATAAAAATCCAGGTGGACATTTCTCAAGACAAAAACCATCATATTCAATGAGAGGAGCTGTGCACGAATAATGACACGATCCATTATAATAGAAAGTTTTATACTCATCATCACAAGAACGAATACATGCCCATGTTTCATTATCTGTGTATTCCAAAGGACTTTCTGGTGGACACTCATATACGCATTCATTACCATTCACAAATGACTTCTTCGGACAATGGTCCATACAAGTCAAATTATGGACCTTTTTATCAGACGGACAAAATTCTAAACACAAATAACCTGCATTTAATCTTCGGCTTATTTTTGACCATTTTTTGTCCCATCCTTGTCTCCACTGAGTAACTGTTCTTTCACTTTTGAGAAGAAATCGTTGATATTCAGGACAACTAGCCGCACACGAATTGCCAACTGTAAATGTAGAATCTGGACAAGCATCTACACATGTGGAGTTAAATTGATAAGAACCTGGTGGACATTCACGTAGGCACTCCGAGTATCGATACACACCTTCACACTTTTGAGAAGCTGAACATTTCACGCCTTTTGTACGCTGAATGATAAATAGGAAGTATTCTGGGCATTCTGAAAGACATGATTTATTTACGGACATTGTATATATTGGGCATGTTTCAATGCATGTGGAGTTAAAAATCGACTCATTGTGACTGCATGCAGTCACACATTCAACAATTTCTGCTTGTTTAGTTTCTCTTTTCCAAGAATAATTCCAAGTATCGCTTACAACGTCATATTTCTCAAATGAAATACTCCTGTGACGTTTAAACTCTTTCAATTTTGGACAAGCCGCCTCACATGTTTTGTCAACAGTGTAAAGCCCATCAGGACAAAATGGCTGGCAAGTATGGTTCACTTGATAAAGGTTATCAGGACAACTTCTTGTACATGTTGGCTCTATTTTGATCCTTGTAAAGATATTATTCAAACCATACTTTGCCTTTGCAGTGTAATCGTAAGAGAATGGAAAGTCATGAGGACATCCTTGAACACATGTCGCATTTAAATATTTATAACCAGAAGGGCAAGTGGACAAGCAAGTCATACCGAGAGAATACGTATTTTTTGGGGATTTGGGAAACCCAACTATCGGTTGGGAAAATATTTAAAAAATTTACTGTCAAATACAAGTAATTTTTGTTTTGAAAAGGTGCATATGTACGGACGATCGTTTGGGCATTTGTTATTACATGTTCTGTCTTCAATAAACGTTCCATTTGGGCACTTTTCAACACATGTTGAATTGTAATGATACGTCATTAGTGGACATTCTTGGATGCAATGCAATCTTCCATCTTCTGTCACAATATATGCGCTATCGTCTGGACAAATATCAACACAACTGTTATTGAAAATATAAGGAACATCTAAGGGACATCTAAACAAGCAAGTGTTATTTCCAGACGTAACTGTCGAATAAGGACACGTTTGCTCACAATGCTGATTATATATAAATGGATGTGAAGTTGGACACTGGCTTATGCAACTCGAATTAAAGACATATTTGTTTGGAACACAGTCATCGGTGCAGTAACCATCCTCAATTAGATATTCACACTCCTTAACACATTTATAAAAGGAAATGCCATAAACTGTTATATTCTTTATAAATGTCGTCATTTGTGGACAGGACGTTGTACAATTATTCCCGTGAATGTATTTATGCGTCACCGGACATGCTTTAACGCATGTGCCATTATAAATATATTCATGGTGATCACACATAGTCACGCATAGTTTGGTAATGTAGATTTCTCTTCCAAGAAGCTTTGATGTCTCTCTTAACATCATATTTGTAGGGCAATGATCCACACATGTTTTATTAAAAACAAGATTATTTCCGCACTCAGCAACACATTCCGTTCCATTAATATACGCTGAGTTTGGACATTCGAAAACACACCCACTTGTTGTGCAGTATGGTTTATGTCTTGGACAAATACCGGGTGATGTACAGGGAAATTGACATTCAATCTGCAAATATAACGATAACACTTTAGTTAGTATGTATTCAGTAATTTAAAACAAAACACGAAATGATACCGCTTTTCATTTCAAATTAAAAAGTAACACAATAATAAAATTTGACCGGCTTACCCCGCACAAAAGAAAGGTGATTGCTGCAACATACTGTATTAAACCGGTAAAACGTTTGATTTTATACGTCTCCATATTTCTTGTATCTATTTATGATCAGTAAAACGTAATCCAAAATATGTGTAAAGCACAATACAATTGTACAAGATATCGGTTTATTCTTTAGGGATCTGTCATTTTATTCAACCGTGTAATTCAAATACATAATCAACAAAGGAACGCGTACGATTTTTTTAATATTGATTACAATTCCTTTGTAATCGATAAAATTGGAAATATATTTAACAAACTACGACTTTTATTCAAACCTGAGTCGACGTCAATATAAAGACATTTTGTCGAAAATAAAAAAAACAAAAACTTTAGAATGTTTTCGAGAATGAGTGAACCCGGTGATATGGAATCAATGTGTTTACTGACGGAAAGTGATTCGGATACATTTTCAAGAAACCATAACATTCCAGACTTACCTAATACAAAAGACTATCATCTGTTTGTTTGCTATACTGACTACAATTCAGCCGATGTTCGAGTAATTGTTGAAAATTTGGAAGGCGAGGGATTAAAATGCTGTTATCATGAGCGTGACTTTCAACCTGGTCAAAATGTTTTCCATAACATCAATTCTGCTATAAAACGGAGCATGGGCATCATCATTATTCTTTCGGAAGAATCAGTTAACAGTAGCTTCTGTCAGCATGAAATTCACCAAGCGGTTCATACAAGAATAACAGATGACTACACAATCATACCTATCAAGATCGAGCCATGCGATATTCCTGATAATCTGAAAACAACAACATACATTGATGCTCAAAACATAGAAACGATAGAAGTTCATAAACTAATCCTAAATGCATTTTTACAAGACGGTAAGATTTCATTTTTTCCACAAGATTCTAATGTTTTATAATGAAAGAAAGTACAAGAACATTACTATATTTATATTATTTTATATTTAGTCCGATAGTGTAGAAAGCATGTATAGTCATACACTTAATATATATTGTTATGTGTTAAAGCATAGCAAAACACAATAATTGCTTTAAGATTCTATTACAAACTCTATAATTATGTTATTACAAACTCTGTTGCACTAGCTTTTGTATTCGTTTTGCAATACCATGTTAAAAACTACACATTGTTATGAATCTACTTCATAGATGTTAATAATATGTATGTATACATTAACATGCCTCTGAGTATTTAAAATTCTTTCACCAGAATGTGTCATATAAACCATATAAATTCCAGTATACGAAATAGGGTATAGAAAATGTTTAGAAGGAAATAAGCCTGTTCACACAGACATTAAAGTATGAAGTATGCTATAATAAGATTCAACTTAAGAAATATTACAATAACTTGGTGCTGAAACTTTTTTTTATCTTAAACAGTTTGGCACGTGGAACACAACAGTAAGTAGTTTTCTTAGTGTATGATATATTTAATTGTTTTTCATAAATATTACCATTGTTATCAGAATATATAATAATAATTCAAGCTAGTAACGTTTTTAATTCTGTATTACTACTTTAAATCTGACATGGTTTAAATTAAAGTGAAGAATACTCTTTATTTTACATTATATTATAGATACAAATGGCTTTTGTTTTTCAGAAATATAAGTATAAAATAAAATTATAAAATCAAGCTCGGCAGTAGCGTTTTTAATTTTACTATTTATACTTTAAATCTGTAATGGTTTAAATCAACGTGAGAATACTCGTTATTACATTATATAATAGATACAAATGGCTTAACTCGACGCATGTCAATGACACAATATAAAGAAGGGTGCAAATGGACTACAGTATCAAGATTCAAATTACTGATTGACAAAAAAGAAAGAATGTCTCTCAGGAGAAATGGCTTTGTTGTAAGTTGATTTTGATAAATCATTTACGGGTCGTGATCGTTTGCTCTTATTGTTTTTGTGTCATATAGCAACAAATGGCAAACCTTTTGGCAACTCATTTAATTCAATTTCATTGTTACTTAAGCAAAGAACATCTTTTTTCCAGATCTTATTTGCTTCTTGTGAATCTCTTAAATTTAAGATGGACGAATGGTCTTAGACATTTCATACTAGGATTCTAAATATCCAGATTAATAAACTAGTAGTTGAAAGAAACTGATTTCAATGAATTATGAATAAATTTAAATTCCTCATGTAGAGACTCAATCAAAACGAATCTGCAATTTCCATGTCATTATGCTGTTTTAAATGCTTCCGAGGGATCACTTTTTCAGATATTTATAAATGAAATGACAAAATATTTGTACTATTGTCAATGTTTGTTAACACAACATCATTTTACACTAAAAAACTTAGACGTGTTGTATATTTCGTCAAAAAGATATTTGTGAAAAAGTGTAATTTGATAAACCTTTTTGTAGGTCTCAGATGCGAGGTTTGATGAAATGGAAGCCATTGTCAGCAACTCGTTCCCTGTTAAATACAAACACATACTAATACATCTTACCAGATATACAACACTTGTATTCTTTATTCTGAGTCTAATAACTGTTGGTTTGGAATTTACCTACGTTTCCTTCAGTTTTGGTAGAGAAATGGATAATTCTGGATGGTTAAATACCAACGGTTTTATAGCAAGAGGCATTTTTGTAAATATAATCTTTTGGCTTTGTTTAATTGCAATTGATGGTTGTGGCAAATTGTTCCGTTTCGAGAAATGGAAAGGATTTACACATTCATATGAAGAAAAGGTAAATATGTTTGTAGATGATCAACATGAAATTACTGTGTATTTATCAAACATAAAATGGTATTACGGACTGCAGTTTAAAGCATAACATTTTCAGTAATTTTGTTGATGCTTAACACACATTTTAGTTTGTTATAAAATAAGAGCTGTAAATGAAAAAGAAAGCAACCTTAAGATTGAAGTTTCAACTTTGGACATATCTTGAACATATAAATATATGAAATAAAATGAAAAATAAATGTCTCAATTTGTGTTTTCAGCATATTTGATTTTTATTTGTTTGGGTCGTCAGACAAAACAAATAATGGTAGCGAAATTTCAGACCCTGATATGCTTATTTGCAAAATCCGTAAGTAGTCCGTCATGAACTCCTCGAAGCGGTATTTTCCCTTTATAAGTACACTAACGCCGACAAATTAAGGGGAGATCACTGCGTAAAGATTGTCAAATGACAGGTGCATTAATTTTCAAACCTTCTCAGGGAAGAAAATATAGTTCCCGATAAGTTGAAAATTTCTAATATTGTATGATTCTTTAACATTTCCGCAAATAACCGGAAATATATTCAAATAATATTGTTAAGCGGATGAATATCTTTTAAATCAATGAAAATTGCCCGGCTATTACCGTAAAGCTTCGGATTATTTGAACGCCTAAATAAACATTTGTTATTTAGACTTTCGGACAAAATAAAGTAAGGATATTGACTCTAGGACAGGGACGACTTCAGGCAGTCGACAATCGATAATCAATTTCATTCAAAATTAATAAGGATTACAAACAGTAATTTAGAATACTGTGGTTTGTTTTCTTATAACTTGCCCGTGGTCCAGGGTTACACGCTCGTTTAGGAAGCAAGAGGTCTGCGGTTCAAATCCTAGTTAAAGGAAATCATCTTGTTGTTTTTGTTGTTTTTTTTAATTATTTTAGCCAAATAAACATTGAATTGAAAATAAGTGTTGCAATTAGCCTTATAGCCAATTTACTACAGTTATAACAATGGAAACAGCATTGCTGGCACTACACAAAAACAAATTAGTTTATAATCTCACAATCATTACCTTTCTGATATTCCGAGACCCAAACAAATTCTGTGCTTTGATTATATATATGTTGACAAATATCGACGTTGATGAAAGGTCTACTGTTTATGACATTTATGAAAACGATAATTTATGTTACAGGCAAAAGAAGAGCTGAACGAGAAACTTTGGAACAGAATTAATAGAGAGACAATGAGAGACGACAAATATTTTGTACTCTTTCAAGACGATGTATCCTTTTATTAGAGTCATAATTTGATGATTTTGACACTGGAATATCAAAGTCAGTTATTAGAAAAAAAAGGAAATAAAAATAAATATTGTCCCAGACTGTCACTTTGTAACAAGTACTAGTATACACTTATCCAGACTCTATTCCATGAATTTGTGTGTTTAATTTGGTGAAATAATATTTGTTTTGACAAAAATTGAACTGTTAAAGCTAACATGAAACGCACCGGAGTCAATTGAAGGACTCGGGCCTTTTATTCTTTGAGAAGTAGACACTTTAACCCTTTTGATAATTCTCCCATCTGCGATGGCTGCATTCAAAGAACCCATTGCTTGTTCGATGCTTAGCACCTGCTTGTACGACGTCATTTGATTACGTTATGCTTTGAAAATGAAACTACCGGGCGATCATTCTATTAAGCTGTTTTAAATTTGCGCCCTGAGTCAAGCAAAAATTTATACAAATACAAATGACGAAACGAGAAAACCCAATTCGGACGTATGATTTATGCAAGAATAGTGCTTATGCATCTTTATGAGCATTTACATCAGTAAAAACCCTCTGACTCTAAACATCTATTGCCCTGTGGGATCGGGCTTTAAAATGCGTACTCGTGATTCTGCAGATATTGATGCATTAAAACAAAGCAACATTAGCCCTCAATTAGTCCTCACAACAATCATGATATGTCCTCTGCTTGCAAAGTTTTTATGCAAAGATAGCCAATCGTCTTGATTTAGTTTGCATTGCTCCCTCAATACAATGAAACATTAACCTCATTATTATTATCTTAACAGTCTACCACTTGCAGCATTTGAACATTGTCCGTTTTGACCGAAAGCCATGCCAGGTTGAGTATACATATTTCTTTTCATTTTTTTTTTCTATTCGTCAACCAATTTAAATGCAAGTTGTCCATCGTGTGCTTCAAATATTATAAATATGGTATTGCTTTAATGTCATTAAAGCGACTTTCAAATTATACATAGGAAAACCTACTGCTTAATTGTGTCCATGTTTACATTTTCCAGGACGTTTTTGTGCGACGATGTCAGCTTCTAAAATCTCTGACGAAATACATGTGTCCAGGAGAGACGGACGTTGTAAGTTTTATGTGTTCCTTGTTATTTGTATTTTCTTGTAGTTTCAAAAATAGCATGACTAGTATGATTATTCATTATGCTAATTTTATTTAAATCATTCTAGATCTTGCGTAAAAGAAACTCTTGAAAATAGCCATCATTCGAGGGAGAGCAATAAGGACAAAAAGTAAACAGTTGAAAAAAAAATCGTAGACTCACTTTTTTGAGTGACAGATAGTGTTAAAGCACACCCTAGCACCGGGTTAAGATGTATTCAGTTCCCAATAGTTTTTTTTTTGTTCATAGACAAGATACCAAAAACCATCAGCTGACATCATTTACAAATACTTAGATTTATTTGAAAGCTATATTCTTCTATATATCTGTTGCGCTTATTTCTTAAATATTGCAAATAAAATTAAATATTGCAAATAAAATAAATACGTCATAAATTCATGCTTATTTATCTATTTTACAGGAATATACGGAGCGTCTGGTTGAAGCATATTTACAAAAGGACTTTATCAAGCTGACTATTCCGACCAAAGGTGACGGCCGCCACACAATGATAAACGGGGCTTCATGTCTTTGTTCTTTACTTGAGAATGAGATTTTAAAAAAGGATGATGATGATGATGATGATGATGATGATTAAGTGTGACTTGTGTCGTTCAATCAAGTGAATTCAATAGCATGACGTGTGGCGGGCTTATGGCATTATTATACATAAATAATGCTACTTGATTTCATTTGGTTTCAATTTTGAAAGACAAATTTTAAATTATTTTATCACTTTCATACAAAAATTGCAAACTGATTTAGTAAATAACTAACACATATAGACCAGAGCAGTACATGTTTTTTTTTTTTCTTTTTGACTTGATTATTTCTCTCCTCATGCAAAGTATATTTATGCAATATTGTGCCTTAGTCAAAGAATAAACTAGTTCTCCTATTAGTTATAAAGTCATTTCCTCGACATAGCTGACGATTTCTTTTCATTTTTAACTGAACTTCTCTTTTTTTATCTCGTTCCAACAAGTTATTAATTCCTTCCCAAAGGATCCAAAGTCGTTTCCTCGAAGTCAGACAATATTTTTTCATAAGTTGCATATGAACATACAAGGATAATATAAAATTCATCCTCTACATACTTCATTTTTATCATGTTTATAGCATTATCATCAATTTTTATTTTTCGCAAAAAATAACCGTTTTTCTTTTATTGGTTTAGACATAAAGCAGCGGAAGATTAAACCAAAGAATTCTTTGTTATAACCTATTTGAAATGGTAATCCATTTCAAAGTTAGGAGCTAGCAACTTTTTAAGGAGGATGGAAAATCTTGTCTCTACAATTTCCAAAATTGGAAGACTGTACCAATCGGACACTTTTCAAATTGCTTAAAATGAATCTAATAAACATTATTAGCATTAAATATCCAAAATTAGGATCAACACAATAAAAAAATATTAAAAGTTTACCAAAAAACATGCAGGTAAATTTACTGTTTCATAATAGAAAATAATCCCATGGGATTTACATGGCAGAAAATCCCATGGGATGAGTAAATCCATCGAGAAATGCTTGGCAGAGTTTAAATGATTCCATTCACTTAATTTCAAATCGTCATATATTTGACATGTAGATCTGATCGCCAACTACTCTGTTTCACTTTCTGTCCCATTCTTATTTTTCATTTAAGCTATTTTAAGCTAACCAACGATGCAAGTGGTACACCTTCAGAATGTATGAGCCCCGCTATCTTGATTTATGGACCGCGACATCTTGACTGAGACAGGGGGGCTGTAACTTTAGTCTTAGGGCCCGTCTACACCTATCCATGTCTTGAATGCAAGTATCATATTCTCTTGTATTGCATAGTGTAGACACCCTACTTAAATGAGTTTAAAGAGAAATTATGTGACATCCAAGAAGATAATTCCTTGCAAGAAAGTGAGGGCCCGTCTACACCTATCCAAGTCTTGAATGCAAGTATCATATTCTCTTGTATTGCATAGTGTAGACACCCTACTTAAATGAGTTTTAAAGAGAAATTATGTGATATCCAAGAAGATAATTCCTTGCAAGAAAGTTAGAACACATTTTATTTTTCTACAAGTTTTTGGCTGTCAAGACACTGATAACACCGGTTTGACACAAAACATGTGCCCCGAAGGTGTGATAGTGTTTTTTTATTATTAATTTCTTACGTTTTTGTTACTGATTCAGTGTTCATGATCTGTAAATTTTAGTAAATGTATAAAATATCTTGGTCAGAGGAACATATCAATACACTGATACACAGAAGTGCACAAAAAACATTTAAAAAATCAGTTTTCAAGCAGTCAAAATGGATTTTAAATGATCTTGTTCATTTAGTGAATAACTTTCATCAAATAAAGAATTTGCATCAATCTATCAGCTCAAAAAAGATTTTCTCATATTTTCAGTTATTTTAAAAGAATGTACACATTTCAATTTCATTTACTCCAATGGTTTTACTTAATTGCATCATTTTCCAGCGTTTTTATTCAAATATTTTACAGAAACATGATAGTATTGCAAAAGTAAAGGTATAAATCCTGGGCATCTTAATTAGACATTTCAGTAAAAATTGTGCCTGATTAAATATTGAAAGGGTCATTTATTAGCTTATCTAAATGTGACATGTAAGAAACTTGAATAGGTGTAGACGCGGCCTCAGTAATTAGCAAAATAAGAAGTAGCAAAAGACAGAAAACAGTATATTTATGGAAGGTTAAGTTAGCAAATTGCAATACAATTGTATATCGTAATAGCCATGCTATTTCTGATTAGACAATATTTTTTTAGTAAAACGTATATTGTTATATCAAAACGTCTTAATAAAAAGTTAATGCATATTGTATCTCCTCTTTCTTTCGGACAAGTAAACTAACATGAACAATGTATGTATTCCAATCTATATTCTATTTAAATGATATATTGTCCAGTCGGTTATAGCACGTTTCAAAGTAAAAGAAAATGCATCGTTGTTGAGTATAACAGGCGGCGTTTAGAACGCACATTTTATTGAAAGAATACGCCAATTAACCACTGGCGACCAAGACACAGACTTGTTAAAAACAATATTGATAAACTAAGGGTTGCCCAAGAAATAATGTGGTAGGCTAAAGTTGTTTCAAAGTCATTATCAACCGTGAAGTTAGACTTGTCAGTAATTTAGCTTCAGATAAAAACAAAACAAATTGAATAGATATTGCGAGTATATTTTTATATAACATCATGTGCTCGTATCTAAGCGTTAATTTTATGTTATTTTTCTAGAATAGAGCTTGGGCGCCGACATTTTGTTCACCAATAATATGATTGAATTGTGAAAATGGCATACATTTTTTCAAACGGTTAAAAATGAAAACCAATCGTCATTCAAGAATGCGAAAGCGGCCACTGATTGGCGGATTGAAATATCACAGGAGGGTCGACCTATATTGGCAACAGTCGGATCCGAAACCGTTGATACATTTCATTTACGAGCCAATTTAAATCAGATTAATTCCATCACATTTATTTTTACTTACACGATCAATAATTTACCTGCCGTTATCATTATTATAGCTCTTTCTGACTAAGATTTAGGAAAAAATGAAATAATTGAGAATCAGGGATATTTCAGATACAATTCTGTGGAGGTTTGATTTGCAGAATTATAATTATACAGCTCATTATGCTAATCACGTTTTAAAAAGTTGGTAAAAATTAATGGTGAATCCCATACAATAGGCTCTCATCCATATAATTCAATGTCTATCATTATGTTTTTTATGTAAATTGATTGACGTTAAAGAATAAATTCGTCGCTACAACCCTCAATTAGGGTTGATAGTGACGTATTTCTCATGTATAACAAAAATAGAAAACATTTTGGCCTAATAATAAAAGATTTCTACGGATTAAAATCTTTGTGTGTCTAGTTATTTGTTTAAATAGATATATCTTATCTCCGGGCATATAGCCTTACTTATGCGTAATTATGCATATATTGCATAAACCTTTTGAATATTTCGTCCTTTTCAAATCAAGCAAACTTTACTTCCATGAGGAATATTGCTTTGTCATGTTGAGATCGTAAAAATTAATTATCTATTCATATGTTCAGTCAAACCTAAACGTTCAACATTTTTGTTTTTTTTTTTTCATTGTATTAATCGACACTTGACCATTGATCTTAAAGATTCAGACTTACACTCTTTCATAGCTAACCGAGTTCAAGACTTTTTTATATAAAAAATAACACAGACAGAAAACATTTCATTTTTCAAGTTTTTAATATTTTAATATTTCAGTAACGATAATTCGTCAACACAACATAAAATTTGTGCTAGACGATCAATTAATTAGATAATGATAAACGATTTAAAACAAACCACACAAAAATATTGATAAAGTATTTTAAGATATGGTGCAAAAAAATAGCATCAGTAGCAAAAAATAGTATCAATAACATAAAATAGCATCAATAACATAAAATAACATGAAGCAGTACAAATAGTATAAAATATCAACAATAGCATCCATGTAATATAATAGTATCAATAGCATAAAATAGCATCAATATCATTGGGGTAAATATCAAAGCTGAACACTTTAAAATATTGACAGACATAATAAAACTTATGTCAATTCAGTAAAACTTATGTCAATTAAGTCATAAACAAAAACATAAAAAAAGAAATCAAGCGTTGCCTTTTATGGCACAAAACATGTACATTTCAAATTCTAATGCCGATACATTCAATATCATACAAACAAGAACAATTTAAATTGACAAATCAATTCACAATAACAATGGTCTCAACTGTAATAATGCAATTCGAAATACAACTAAACTTGACTAATAACTGACCAAAAGAAATATAAACAAATATTGCCCTATTTTTATTTAAACATTTTTTTCATTATAAACACATAATTTGATTAACATCACACTGACTTATCACATCATAATAACTCTGAGTACAGCAATTTGTTCAATATCATATGTAACCATTTAATATCAGAAATGTTTTTTTTTCAATATCTGAGCATTATTCTTTAATGTATGCTCTATTTTTCAATATCTGACTATTATTGTTTAATAACAGTATCATTTTTCAACATATGAGCTCTTATCTTTATTATCTTTATAATCTAAACTTTTTAATCTCACTTTTTCAGATTTTTAACTTAAGTATATATAAAGTTTCAATATTTTGAAGATACAATATATGTAAACTTTCAGTGTTTGTGTGGACTCTCGCAAAAGATACCATCTATACCTGGAGGACACACACACTTGTAGCTGCCATTCGGTTGTGAAACACATTTTCCTCCATTTTTACACTGATGATTAGCACATCTAGTGTCTATAAAAGAAATGATAACAATGATGATAAAAATGTGACGCGATTAATGATGATAATAATGATGATGATAATGACGGTGATGAAACTATTGAATAAAGAAATGTTCGAACAATACAAATGATTATGGAATGTACACGTATACGTGTGAAATGAATTTAAAAAAAATACGCAACGATTATAAAAAGTCTTATGATAAAATACAGGCGCATGAAAGAAAAATGATGAAAGAGGCAACCATTATATCGTTCTTGTTTCAAGTGTGTTAGAAGATAAAACAGACATTGTTATAGAAAAAATACCTACCAAGTTCGCAGTTTTTGCCAGAATACCATCGCTGGCACTTGCAAACATAGTCTGCCACTTTGTCCTCACATTGGCCTCCATTTTTACAAGGATTGTTGGAGCAATCATCAATGTCTTAAATTGACAAAAAATAATACAATAAATATTGAAGCAATTACATAAACACGTGAAAAATATTTTGTTGAAATACAAAGTAAATTATGTAGTCTATCTATTTAATTTTGATTCAACGTTTGAAAACAGATTCAGATTTTAAAATATTTAGTAATGAACATTAGTCTGTGATACAGTCAGTCTTTCGATTCGACCATTATTCTTATATTATGAGTATTTTAAATGTAAAATTACATTATCATTAACGACGACGGCGGTCACCATGACGAACATGTTGTGTGTGGTCGTTTTAATTATTTAACAGTTGATTGCTACTTTATAATACAAGGTATCGTATAACATTGCTGATTTTTGCATATCAGACAGGAATTATCTACTGTTTACACCGGTTCTAGAAAAACCGGTCTTACACCCCCATGTAAAGACAAGTCGCGCCATTCCCACACGCCTTTTATTAATGAATTGCGTCATTAGGATCGCATTATGGTGCCGTTGCAATGAAGTTGTACATTCATACGTTACTATGAGAAAGAACGCTAAATGATAATATTAGTTTTCTTAATTTCTTTTCGAAATATTATTTATTTGTAATATGCAAGAAAAAATCAAACACCGGCTGCCGGTACAGACCGGAATATCTAGCTCTCAGGTTTCAGCGAAAACTCAGTTACCCTCGAGCTAGATGTTCCGGTCTGTACTGGCAGCCGGTGTAAGATCCTTAAAGTAAGTTTCTGTAAATTATTATTATTGCACAATTCTGCGTTACTTTTTGCACAAATCGTTATTTTCACATTCCAGCGTTATTGGATATACACGGTGTTAATGGACATATCAAATTAAGACTTACTGTAGCATACAGCATTCTGCCATGTACCGGAAGCTGTACATGTGACATGTGGTTGACTCGGTGCGTAACCAGTGTCACATTTCACAGTAGCCTGTGACAAAAACAATGTGCTGTCCCACTCAAGATGACCATGTTCAATCTTTGGATTACTGCAGTCTGAAATACAACATCAACATCAACTCGTATTGGGAAGAAAGATTGAAAAAGTATTATAATTTATAATTATGTGAATAAGCGCAATGACGTCATGACATAATCGAATCTAACTAAAAGGAAAACATTATGTTTAAAACTTGAATAGTTTCAATGAACGTTACGGACACAATTTCGGTGCAACGATCCTTTAGATAATGAATATGTCTGAAATATGGTTAAATATACATAAAATTATATCTATATATTTCTATATCAGTTCTTATTATGGGTAATTGTTTTATGATTGACACTGCCTACAATAAGTTGTTTGTTTTCATACATGAATTTTATTATTTCTATAATCTAAGAAAAGTCTAATGCAAAAGTTTGCCTGAAATATGTCAAAATAGAAACTTTGTCCTGGCATGGTTAAACTGAAAATATTTGCAAGTGCCAGTTCATAAAACATGGTTATGGTTGACATGAGCAATTTCGAACTGCCATTCACCCCATGTCGTCTCCATTCCACACCGGTGTAAGCAGGCTTTATCGAATTAAAAATAAGACTCAAGTTCAATGGAAGACTTACCAACTGGCTGGCATGTCGCTTGTTCCCACATCCCGTCAGCCTGACATGAAATCTTAGGTTTATTTCGCTGATATCCGGGGGCACAAGTAACGGTGGCTGTTGCACCAAACGTAGAATCTTGCTCACTATTCATTGTTGATTGTCCGTTTTCGATTTGTGGTAAAGTGTTTCCACAATCTTAAAAATGTATAATTGATTATTATGTATAATTATGAAATATATAATACATGTGCAGATTCGTTTCTTTGTAACACAGCAAAGAGTAGCTGACAAGGCAAAAAAAGTCTTATATTTGATAATGACAATGTTATCTGTCTTAAAATATCTAAATATCAAAATGCAGTAATATAAATTAACAATTTTGGAAATATTGAAAGACTATACCTACCAGTCACGTGACAATATACAGACGACCATTTTCCGTTCGCTTGGCATACAGCTTCCGGATTTGAACTCGAGTATCCGTGTGAGCAGACGACAGTTGCTTTTGCTCCATATTTTGTTCCTTCTTCCTCATTTACAACGATAGAACCATAAGGTATAGATCCTGGTTCCCGGCAATCTGTCATAGAAATTGAATGCAAAAACTTTAGTCCTACTCGTAAAATTTCGGAAATTTCCGTATGTAAATGCGAAAAACTCAAGTGATCCGATTGAAATGAAACATTGAGAATGGACAATTGCTGCTTTTTTCTCTCTGCGATATTCATGAAAATTTGACCATTTCTCAATTAATCATTTAAAAATGATTTCATCCTAAATGAAATTGAACAACATACATGTAGATATGATAAAGAGTCAAGACGGTACAACAGTAAGCTATGGGATGTAAACATTTCATACATGGTTAGGAGCGATCAATGTGTTCTATAAATAGAATTGATTTGTATAAATCTAATCAATCAATATTCAAATCGATCGAATTACAGACATAGCTACACTGTTTTGATAGTTATAAACAAAAGCACTCTACCTTTGTATTTAATGTATACAATTGATCGATTAAACGTTAAATAACTATGATAAACTTTTGTTTAGAATGAGTTTTATTGAGCTACGGTATTGTCATATTAATCATTAAAGCCTCCAGTTTCGGAGATATACCAATTTTTAAAAGAAGTTTATAAAAAGTTTAGGATATGTACAAGAAATAACGTTCCTTTAAATAATTTGAAGTTTTTAAGTTTTAAATTTGAACGTTTTAAGCAATATGCGAACAATTAACTTATCATTTCACCTACCCTTTACTGAATAGAGTAAGGGCTAGTTTCGCTTTTTATTTATTCATTTTATTTTGTATTATTTTAAGTTCTGTAATTTTTAAGAGAGCTAGGATAATAAAAGTCAACCCTTAATTAATCTTTACTAAATTTTTACCATTTTAAATACTTTCTCAATATTTTGCTATAAAAAACAATGAATCTACATGCACGCTGCTTTAATGGTATAAAAGATATGTCAACAAACACTGTTCGTGTGCAACCTAGCGTAGCGAGAAGGAAAATGGCTGGCATTTATCGATTTATCAGGTATAAACTGTTATTGAAGATGAGTAAAATTAAACTCGCTACAAAAGACCTATTCAGCATGTATATTATCTCAAATAAAGTATTTTCAAAAATCTTAAAATTTGAAAATTTCATATGATGATAAAGTAAATACCTGTTATCACTCTCTTTATATTTTCTCTTCCAATTTTTGAGCCAGTAAAGACGGCTAAAGTGGCGACAAATCCAATTACCCATAATGAAGTGGTAAATGAGTAGGTTTTTTCTCCTTCTTGTACCTTTGAAGCGGTTACTTTGACTGTTTTCTCAGTTGTTGAAGTTTGCTGTATCGTCTTGCCATATTTCTCTGACAAAGTCAGCTCCGACGCGTACGTTCTTTTAAATTCTTCGTCGTCGTCGGTGTTCCCCCGATGGTGAATATTTCCAACGTATCCTAAACGCGTCGTGTCCCTCTCTTGTTTCATGATTGCAATTTTGTTTTATGGTTATATGTGTATTTGTTGAGTTACTAACTTAACTGATGAAATTCTTAAGTTGCGGGAGCTTTTAAAGAGCTCTGTCTGGGTTTACCATTGTTGCGACAACAAATTTCGCAATGGGTTATTTTTAACTTGGTTTTCCAATATTAATAAGTTTTTGTATACAGCGCAAATTTAAATAGCACACAAATTGTCTTTATAACTATAACAGCTAGTACGGTTAGTGCGGACCGGAGGTAACTCTCTTTATGTCACATATATGAGTTACATCCTTTTCGCACCAATTCCTCAAAAGTAATTAATTTGTCTAATCAAAATGGATCGTTTCATATTTACTATAATGAGTATTTTTATTGGCATATCTTCTTAACTACTGATATCTTCTGACTTGAAAAAGTAGGATATTGTTTTGGCAAAAGAATGTACAGTGAGTCTTGTGAATACACATTTGAGGGTGTGTGTTGACTTAATCGCCAATTTGTTTGCGATAAAACCTATGGTTGTTGTATTTTTATATATTGCAACAGTAATGATCAATCAATCAAGAAATTTTAAAAATGATGCAAATGATTTGTAATGGCACAAGAAATCTCGCGTGATTGGAATACATATAAACAAACTGTATGCAAGAAAATTGTCGCAATATATTTGGCTTTATATTTCCTGAAGTTTTAATCATTTGATTAATTCGTTATTTGACCCGTTCTACGCGTGTCCGGCTAAAATTTCTATTTTCAAACATTTCTTTAAATAAATTCATCCCGTGGATATTGACCGGGTATTAATTTACACCTCAAAAATTTACCGAACATTAATCTCAGTCCAACCTAATAAAATTCAGATACATACGAATAGTTACAAAATGATCATACATTATATAAGTAATAGAAAGAGCACCGAAACACGAGGCTATCTGATTTGTACGAGGGGGCGTAGCCCCCGAGTATTAATCAGATTGCCGAGTGTTTTGGTGTTCTTTCTCTTTTGTATCATAGTCAAACATAAAAACAAGCTCCCTGTTATCACAATATGAAACCCCGGCAAAAATGAACCAATGAACGAACATCTGAATATGACATTTCTGTCGCTTTCCCTTTCTATGCCGTCACAATATGTAAACCCCAGCAAAAATGAACCAATCAATGGGCATGATCTGGAGTGCGGGTAACTGATACCCGCACTCCAGTTACCGCACTGTGCATGTATATGTATACGATTTAACTCTGACACATTTTCAACAGAAAGGTCCCCAAACTATGATACAAGATTGAGATAAATTCAACATTCCGATAGGGATTTTAACATTTTACTTAGTGAAGTAACCTTCTTTATTTAATTTCATTTTTACATAATGTGGACCTAAATATGACTTCCTAATTACATGTCTGAGGTGTATCAAGCTATATCTGAAGAAATATTTTCAAAAATGTCATTATGAAAACAGTAACTTAGATTTCTTGTTTTTCTCGAAACACAGTTTCTTTATTTACTGCACATGAATGTTCAATGTAATCGGAATAATGTTCCCAAACAAAATATATTGCTGCTGTTTTTAGATTTGCTGTCCTTGATTTCTTGCATGCGCTGCCTGCTGTCAAATATAGTCCCTTCATTTTAGATATTTTAAAACATTCATTTCATAAGACAGTCTTAAATTAAATAAAATATAAAGCTATATAGTTATACACTTTCAGATAGCAACAATGCGTTATATGATTCCTTCTTAATGTCTTGAAGTATACCTAAACCTACTGAGACGGAACATTTTAAATGTATTTAAATTTAGAAATTACATCATGCTTTTTTTACTGATATTAAACGTATTGCTATTTCATTGGCCATAGCACCATATTTGTTTTCTTTCCATTGGCTTTCAGAGGTACAATCATGTCGTCACAAACAGGTGCGCGTACCATTTTTAATGTTATTTCCAATGGAAATACCCCGATTTGGTTCAGTAACAAGATACTTGGGTAGAGTTACGACAGTGGTCTCCCCTGTTTTTATATACTTTTGGCCGATAGTGACTTTCATGAAATTAATTATATATAAAAATATTGTCAATGAGTGAAACCCAGATACATTTATTTTATATAAAATATTATAGCTGGTGTTCACCAGAGTTTCAATCTTGCGTACAAAACAAAATCTATCTATTTCAAATTAGTCAATTCTTGCTGATTTTGCCGTGTAATGTCACATCATAATGTCAAAGTATAAATGTTGAAACATAGCTCTGTAAAATTTAAATTCTGTATGCAGATATTTACTTGCTTCTAAGAAACAAATTTTACATTGAGCGGAATTAATTCCACTTAGATATATGAATATTCTTTTCACTGACTTTTAATATAGTCTGTCTACAGTGAAAAATATATTTTATAATTTCACTGTGAAAATTATCTAATATAATTTCATTTTCCACTGCACAGCATGTTATAAATCACTATAATACTATTGTCTTGTATAACTTTTATTCAGTTTTTTACTCCAGTACCATTTTTATTTTCCAGTTCGAGGAGATGTTTACCCCCATATTACACAGATAGCAGCCAAACATGTAGGTACCGAGAAGAGCTTCAACTGCTATGTGCTACCAAATTTACCTATGAGCGCATCAGCAGAGCGAGTGACTAAAATTATTGTAACAAATAGTACAGATATGTGCGTAGATGGTGTTCCTGTGGAAACAAAAACTATACAAACAGCTCTCAGAGATTTTCTTATCTGGCTGAATCAGTTTCGCTATGTTTTTCTGATTGCTCATAATGGAAAACGCTTTGACTTCCCAATCGTTGTAAATGCCTGTCAAGCTAGTGGAATGTTTAATGAGTTTTGTTCATGTGTGTTAGGATTGGTAGAGTCTTCACGTGTTTAAATCATTCTCTCCTAAACGTGAGTCTTACAAGCAGGAGGACCTAGCCCGCTCATTGCTCTCCAAGGTGTATAACGCTCATAACGCACTGTGTGATGTTGATTGTTTGTCCGACCTGGTCATTTATGCTTTGAAACAGGATGATAAGTGTATTACAGTCAAGAGTTTCTCTCCTAGTGATGTGAAATACAATATGGATTCAAACAAAGAGAAACATAAAAACTTGCCATCTTTGTCTATTTTGATTGCAAGTGGCGTCATGAAATCTTCAACTGCAGATAATGTTGCAAGTTCGGGGTTAAACTTTAAACATTTACAAACAATTTTTCAACGTAAGGGAGAGGATGGACTTTATAATGTGTTTACTATGAAAAATAGTGAAGGGTTGCCAAGAGTGACCAATTCTAAGAGAGTTTTGGAATCCGTTATTCCAAAGTTAGTGTCATACTTCGATGGCAAATAATAAGTCATGTATGATAATTCTGGATAATTTTTATCTCAACTGTTCTTATGTAATAACTGAAAACTAAGTTTTCTTCATTTATTTCTAAAACATTATTCATTTGATTTATTTGTATAGCAAGAATCAAATGCAAATTGTATGTTTAACAGTTGTTCAAGACATTTTAAGCATTTTTCATGAAAATATGGCTATCAAAATTCAAGGGGGTCATCTTGTTTGTGTTCTTGTCTAAAAGAAACTGGACGGTAAAAGTTTCTGATTTTAACATATGTTATTGCTCACACATTCAGAAAAATTCACTATTGCAGTGTTCCAAATTAGCAGTAGTCTGATAGCCCCTGACTACTAAATTTCTGCTCGGGCTACCAACTTTTCACAGTAACAACGTTACAAGCCCAACCAGGCTACTGTATTTTCAGAGGCAATATAAACAACTGTTTTGAACAAATGAATCGTGCTAGTGAAATGCCTTTGGGCTAGTGAATATTCCAATCTGGTAGTCCGACCAGCCAAGTCGATTCAAATCCTAATTTCTTACACTGCTATTGATGATTAAAGCAAAAATTGAGTTAAATTAACTAAAGGAATGAAATTTAAAATGGAAAATAATTAATAGGATTTCAGCAACAGTTTGAAAATGCCCCATTATGGATGTGAAAAAAAGGTATTTATACACATGGCGATTTGTTATGTGATGAATTTTTATTGTTGCGAAATGTAAAAGTGTCAAGTGGAAGATTGACCTACAGACTATTGCATGTATTTAAACAGATTTTGCCAACTTCACTTTTTTTTCCTGAATCCACCAGCTTGCTTGAAGCCTTGTGAGCAACTAGTGTGACTGATAATATAATTCCATGCTATCATCAATAATGGTTTAGGATATTTATGTGCACATGAAACATATTGTTGAAATTTACTTTAAATTTATTGTGAATTTGATGTAAACATTTCTTACAATTTCAGATGTATAGAAAGGCAGTATTTATTTTATCATGTTAGGATACTGAAAAGCAACAAAAAATGGTCATATAGTCTTTAGACTGTTATCATAATCTTCACTATTTTTTCCAACAGTTTAATACTCATTTAATGATTATGAATGTCAATGTCAATTTGTTGATACCACATCACAGTTTTTGTTTTTGTCAATTTTCAAAACAACCTTTGGCTTTCTGAAGGGAAAAATATATTTATAGCAAGATAAATCAGAAAAAGTGAAAAAACAATAAATAAAATTCCAACAACTATGAATGAAATTCACCTACACATTTAATTAAATTATCAATTCAATTAAATATACATGGCATAGGCTATCTATAACAACTTTCTGTCAATTAATTTTATCAACAAGCTGATAATCATATAAGTCAGCTGCTGTTTAGTCAAGGTTCTGGTGAATAATGTGCACAGGGCATTTCAGTTGAAAAATAGCATTTTGAGGAAAAGTCTTTTTTTGGCTGTAAAATATAGGAAAATAATCACTGCTTAAAAGTAAGGTAGTAAACAAATACCAGTCAAAAATACTGTAATTATATTTATTTTATCATGTTAATATTGTTTCTGTAAATTTGTAGAAAGATGAATAGTTTTCTATAAACACAGTGGCTGTCAGATCCTATGTCTCCTATAGTTTAATTGGTAAAACACCTCTGGTTTATTGATAACTCATGCAAACTAAGAGGAGTTCTGAGTTCAAATCTCAGTAGGAGCAAGGATATTGGCTATAAAATCAAATCTGTAAAAGGATAAACATAGAATTATAAATGTAAAATTTTCAATTTACCTTTAGACCAATGTTTTAATGAACTTCAGATATAATTGCTAGTAAAATTTTGATAGAATGGTTATGTGAACTACCATATTTGGAATATTTATTTATTTATTTTTGTACATGTCCATAGTGTTAAAGAGCTTGAAATATAGATTAAGAATGGGGAGTAAGTAATAGGGATTTGATGGTCTACAGAATTTTATTTTATACAGGGAAGTGAAGGGGCTTTGGCTTGTCCAGCTATAGACTACACATGACATGATGTATATTTAAAAGGAAATCAAATAAAAAACAATTAAAAAATATTTAGAATTCTCTAACTATCAATATAATTTTCAGTCTCAGTTTTAATAGGGTGCCACTATATTAAATGTAACTCGATGATAATAGGCTGGGTTATCCGATAATGGAACAATCACAACTTTTCGGATCAATAATAACATAGTGTTCCGAGTGAAAACAGAAGTGGTACATGAAATACCAAATGGGAAAATGAACAATTTTTTAACGACTTCCCGTCCATAGGCTTTGCCTAATTTCATATTAAATACCTGGTAAGTCAAATCAAGCTTCCAAAGAAATAAAGCTTTTTTTCATAATTCCAAACTTTTTTCATGGTTTCCTTGCCATTGAAATTTTTCAAGTTGACCTGTGCTTTTCTTACATCTAAATGATTTTTAAACAAGTTATTTGTTTTTTGTTTTTGTTTTTACTTTTCAGATTTTAAACATGTGTTTGATCATAATCTGTCACTTCTTTTAAGAAACAAGTGAAAACAGTTCAATTTTTCTAAGGTGTTGAGACAGTTTTTTTGTTTTTATTTGGTTGCTATTTGGATTCTTTCTTCTGAAAGGCTATTAACCAGCCAATGGTGAAAATGTTTTGGAGAGAAGGGGGTGTGCCGTGGTACAATTAACCATCTCTACATTGAAGACATGCATCTATGAATGTGACATTGTGTATACATTTCTTCCTGTTTGGTTATATTCCGTCACTGACAGCGGTATGTATGGCAAGTTAACCATTTTTCACATATTGTGTATCATAATTATGACATAAAGAATTACTTTAGTCAAAGAAATTCAAACATTTTTTACTGAATCGAGGGAAAAAACTTGTTTCTTTATTGTTGTTGTTGTGGCGTTCTATTTTTACCGTGGAAACCCAGACGCGGTTTCATTGGCTATTTTAATCTAGGACATTATCTGATTGGATAAGGCTAACAGGTGCTCGACTGGTTTAAATTTTGCGTTCATTGTCTCGTTGTTTGGAATATTTTATTTACGACGCAGTCCATTGGACAGAAATCTGTCCAATACGCTTGGGGGTTTCCTGATCCCATTATGGGCAGCCATCTTGGATGGGAACCATAATAGGACAGGGAACCAGATTAGTATTTATGTGACGTCATGTAGTGATGAAGGGGTACCCTAAAGGGAATCTTATTTCGACGTTTCATTTGATGTAGCAATGATTTATTTCAAAATCGTCTATACTCGGCAGGGAAAGGGTAATAAAATAATTATTTTGGTTTTGAAGTGATTTATGTGGATATATTACCTGCCAAGATAAAATATCACCCTCGCCTGACGGCTCGGGTGATATAAAATCTTGACATGTAATATATCCACATATATCACTTCAAAACCAAAATAACATATATTACGAGTTATACAGTTTTTTACAGAGCATTAACATTTTGCCTTAATCTTATTGTAATAGAGATCTTCGACTATGCGACCACATACATGCATCGAGGACATTTTGTAAGGGAAGTGACCGTGCGACCACATCAAAGGATTCCGCTTCTCTTACATTAAAGGGCAGACCTTAAAATTAAGCCATTTTCTTATGGAGGCTAATTTTCACATATTTGTTTCGAATAGGTTAATAAACAACAATAGTTACGCAAACCGAGCAGGGAATCAATTTAAGTCCTTTTAAGTCCGCTATGAAATGTAGGAGAAACTTTTAACTCAAAATTGTCCAAGAAATTATAAATGATCATACTCATATAATTTCTTGGAAAATTTTGAGTTTAAAGTTTTCCTACATTTCATTCTATTTATATAACAGAATTATCTTAATTTTGCAAAACATAAACGTTTCAAAAAGTTTTATATGCATTAAACATGGGAGATACACATTTCACACTTCGTTTGCAAATATTAACATGGGGGGCATGTTTGCTGAAGTACGCATTCGACTTACCCTACTTAAAAGGATTAAATTTAGCAGCCGACAATTTTGGCACTTGTATGACTGTACATATTTTGCAAGCCTAATCTGCTCAATTTGTAAAATGCACTTTTCATGCTTCAATGTTATTAGAACTGTCTATAAATCTGCGAATATCAAGATAGCAATTTCTAAAGTTAGTTAGTACAGTTGCCATAAGTACAGTAGCCAAAAGTACAGTTGCCATAAGTACAGTAGCCATAAATACAGTAGCCAAAAGTACAGTAGCCATAAGTACTGTAGCCATAAGTACAGTAGCCATAAGTACAGTAGCCATAAGTACAGTAGCCAAAAGTACAGTAGCCATAAGTACTGTAGCCATAAGTACAGTAGCCATAAGTACTGTAGCCATAAGTACAGTAGCCATAAGTACTGTAGCCAAAAGTACAGTAGCCAAACGTACAGCGCAGATTCAGTTTGCACGGATGTGTAGCCTGGCTTTCCTGGTAATTTACCTTTCGGTTCCAGCAGTGTAAAAGTGTGGTGTTGTATACAGTAACTGTTGTCATATTTCCACAATTGCTTTTGATCTAAGCTCATTCAAAGTTTAAACAAATTCTATTTAGTTTTTAATCTGCCTTTATTTCTATATAAGTAAAGCATATGTTTTCAAACTTTCATTTGTTATATTTTCTCAAGATGAGAGAGTTATAAATGCAACAGGTGCATCAAAGAAACACTTTAAATGTCACACAATCAACGTAATTTCGAATAAAAAATTAGTCCTTCCGCTCAATGCCATTTCACATTACATATGACCTTACTTACATGGGATACTTTGGTTAAAGTGAATGTTTTTTTGTCTTGTTACTACCTGTCAATAAAAACCATTATTAAACCCATATCTAAACGTTTATAAATTTATGTTTCTCCTTCCTGAAGAAGAAGATGTAAAAAATCATATGTTTCTGAGGCATAATTTGCCTTAAAAATAATAATTGAGCCGCGTCATGACAAAACCAATATAATTTGTTTGCGACCAGCATGGATCCAGACCAGCCTGCGCATCCGCGCAGTCTGATCAGGATCCATGTTGTTCGCTTACAGACCCTATAACAAGTAAAGAAACTGATAGCGAACAACATAGATCGCGAATGCGCAGGCTGGCCTGGATCCATGCTGGTCGCAAACCCATTATGTTGGTTTTGTCATGACGCGGCTCAATTATGTTAATTCATTTACTGAATTGATGATACGTTATGAGTTTAAAATGTTGTTAAACTAGCTTCTTTAATTGCATATCCGTACATTTTCGAAACAATTAAAATATATATCTTTAACTAGTATGATTTTCTGGCAGTGTGTTTATAGTTTCCACATTTTATGCATTGCCGCTTTCAAACTAATCAATATTTACGCACAAAAGAAAAAAATAAAGAGAAGATACTTTTTGTTATTATTTTTTTGGACTTGTGCACGTATACATCGTCATACAAATATCAACAAATTAACAAAACATATATTCATAAATTACAATTCTCACAATGAATATAACAAACAAATACACTAGCTAAGTAAAGTGAAGTACTTTCATTGTCAATGGATAATTTCATAAATTCACTAGCTTAATAAAGTGAAGTACTTTCATTGTCAATTGATAATTTCATAAATACACTAGCTAAATAAAGTGAAGTACTTTCATTGCAAATAGATACTATCACAAGTTAACTAGCTTAATAAAGTGAAGTACTTTCATTGTCAATGGATACTTTCACAAGTTCACTAGCTAAATAAAGTGAAGTACTTTCATTGTCAATAGATAATTTCACAAGTTCACTAGCTAAATAAAGTGAAGTACTTTCATTGTCAATAGATAACTTCACAAGTTCACTAGCTAAATAAAGTGAAGTACTTTCATTGTCAATAGATACTTTCACAAGTTCACTAGCTAAATAAAGTGAAGTACTTTCATTGTCAATGGATAATTTCACAAATTCACTAGCTAAATAAAGTGAAGTACTTTTATTGTCAATGGATAATTTCACAAGTTCACTAGCTAAATAAAGTGAAATACTTTTATTGTCAATAGATACTTTCACAAGTTCACTAGATAAATAAAATGAAGTACTTTCATTGTCAATAGATACTTTCACAAGTTCACTAGCTAAATAAAGTGAAGAACTTTCATTGTTAATGGAAAATTTCACAAATGCACTAGTTAAATAAGGTGAATTACTCTCATTGTCTATAGCTATTTTCACAAATTCATTTGCTAAATAAAGTGGAGGACGTGTACTTAGATAAAGCGAAGGACTTGTACTTACATAAAGTGAAGGGCGTGCACTGTCATTGTCAACGCTCAAATGATTAACACTCTCAGCGTCTATGTATAATTTCACAAAATTTACCGCATATAAAATATGAAGGATTTTTATTTCCATTGTCTATTGAGAAACACCACATACTTCATCGGTTCAGTTATATGAGGGAACTTTATTATCAGTATCTTTCGTTAATTTCACAGAATCTTCCAGCAATGTGAGGTGGACATGAACAGCGGTAACTTCCGTCACGTTGTGGAACGCAATATGCTCCGTTTTTACACTGATGATTTACACACGGAATACCTATATAAAAATAGAAATACGATAAAGCATATCATTACAGTATATCACTGGAGAGAGAAAAGAAGAAAGAAAGAAACGAAGAAAGAAACAAAGAAAGACACATCCATATATATCCCCAATTGTAACGTCATTGCATTAGAAGAGGCTCATAGAGACATATTTAAGGGGGGAAAATGAGACTTAAAAATTGATTCAATCAGGAATTTATTAAAAATCTAGATACAAAATGTACATTATTTTTTGTTGTTGAATTTTAACTTTCTAAAATTGTCCGATTAACATTTTTCGCAATAGCAAGAATATTTCGAATAATAAAAGAAACAGAGATGTTGATAAACTCTTAGTCTAGGATCACTGATATAGGTGTAACAAACTTACAAGTCTCGCAGTTTTTCCCGGTGTACCATTCCTTACATGAACACTCATAGCCTCCTATCTTATCGACACACTCTCCACCGTTAATGCATGGATAACTTAAACAGTCGTCTTTGCCTGAAAAAACCCACATTTCGTAAGCTATAAATTTAATTATTGTTTCAATTTTACTATTGTTTTCTATTGACACAAATGCATTAAAGTTTACTAGCTCATTTCATTAAAAATAGGATTTATTAAGATTTTAAAAATCACCTTAATGTTGTCGAAAAATCAACACACATTTTCCACAATCATTTCCAAAATATCTATAGATGGTAACTGAATGAAAGACCTTTAGAAACTAGACTTCTCAGTGATAGCTTTTTGACGAGTCCGACCAGATAACACGTCTTTATAGTCTGACCAGACTCTAAACTGTTTGTTTTTCAATATTTTGATTTTAAACCCTCATATTAACAATGGATTGTTGGAAATTCAAAGCTGCTCAAGCCCTTGGTAACAGATCTTAACTATACGACCAGCGCAGACAAGCTCTTGGTAACAGATCCAAACTATACGACCAGTGCAGACAAGCTCTTGGTAACAGATCCTAACTATGCGACCAGTGCAGTCAAGCTCTTGGTAACAGATCCTAACTATGCGACCAGTGCAGACAAGTCCGTGGTAACAGATCCTAACAACGCGACAAGTGCAGACAAGTCCTTGGTTACAGATCCTAACTATGCGACCAGTGCAGACAAGCTCTTGGTAACAGATCCTAACTATGCGACCAGTGCAGACAAGCTCTTGGTAACAGATCCTAACTATGCGACCAGTGCAGACCAGCCCTTGGTAACAGATCCTAACTATGCGACCAGTGCAGACCAGCCCTTGGTAACAGATTCTAACTATGCGACCAGTGCAGACAAGCTCTTGGTAACAGATCCTAACTATGCGACCAGTGCAGACAAGCCCTTGGTAATAGATCCTATCTATGCGCCCAGTGCAAACAAGCCCTTGGTAATAGATCCTAACAATGCGTCCAGTGCAGACAAGTCCGTGGTAACCGATCCTAACAACGCGACAAGTGCAGACAAGTCCTTGGTTACAGATCCTAACAATGCGACCAGTGCAGACAAGTCCTTGGTAATAGATCCTAACAATGCGACAAGTGCAGACAAGTCCTTGGTAATAGATCCTAACAATGCGACCAGTGCAGACAAGTCCTTGGTAATAGATCCTAACAATGCGACAAGTGCAGACAAGTCCTTGGTAATAGATCTTAACAATGCGACAAGTGCAGACAAGTCTTTGGTAATAGTGGTAATAGATCCTAACTATACGACCAGTGCAGACCAACCCTTGGTAACAGATCCTAACAATGCGACCAGTGCAGACAAGTCCTTGGTAACAGATCCTTACAATGCGACCAGTGCAGACCAGCCCTTGGTAACAGATCCTAACAATGCGACCAGTGCAAACAAGCCCTTGGTAACAGATCCTAACAACGCGACCAGTGCAGACAAGTCCGTGGTAACAGATCCTAACAATGCGACCAGTGCAGACAAGCCCTTGGTAATAGATCCTAACAATGCGACCAGTGCAGACAAGTCCTTGGTAATAGATCCTAACAATGCGACAAGTGCAGACCAGCCCTTGGTAACAGATCCTAACAATGCGACCAGTGCAGACAAGCCCTTGGTAATAGATCCTAACAATGCGACCAGTGCAGACCAGCCCTTGGTAACAGATCCTAACAATGCGACAAGTGCAGACAAGCCCTTGGTAACAGATCCTAACAATGCGACCAGTGCAGACAAGTCCTTGGTAATAGATCCTAACAATGCGACAAGTGCAGACAAGTCTTTGGTAACAGATCCTAACAATGCGACCAGTGCAAACAAGTCCTTGGTAATAGATCCAAACAATGCGACAAGTGCAGACAAGTCTTTGGTAATAGTGGTAATAGATCCTAACTATACGACCAGTGCAGACCAGCCCTTGGTAACAGATCCAAACAATGCGACCAGTGCAGACAAGTCCTTGGTAACAGATCCTAACAATGCGACCAGTGCAGACAAGTTCTTGGTAATAGATCCTTACAATGCGACAAGTGCAGACAAGTCTTTGGTAACAGATCCTAACAATGCGACCAGTGCAAACAAGTCCTTGGTAATAGATCCAAACAATGCGACAAGTGCAGACAAGTCTTTGGTAATAGTGGTAATAGATCCTAACTATACGACCAGTGCAGACCAGCCCTTGGTAACAGATCCAAACAATGCAACCAGTGCAGACAAGTCCTTGGTAACAGATCCTAACAATGCAACCAGTGCAGACAAGTCCGTGGTAACAGATCCTAACAACGCGACCAGTGCAGACAAGTCCTTGGTAACAGATCCTTACTATGCGACCAGTGCAGACAAGTCCTTGGTAACAGATCATAACTATGCAATCAGTGCAAACAAGCCCTTGGTAATAGATCCTAACAATGCGACAAGTGCAGACAAGTCTTTGGTAATAGTGGTAATAGATCCTTACTATACGACCAGTGCAGACCAGCCATTGGTAACAGATCCTAACAATGCGACCAGTGCATACAAGTCTTTGGAAATAGTGGTAATAGATCCTAACTAAACGACCAGTGCAGACCAGCCCTTGGTAACAGATCCTAGCAATGCGACCAGTGCAGACAAGTCCTTTGTAACAGATCCTTACTATGCGACCAGTGCAGACAAGGCCTCGGTAATAGATCCTAACAATGCGACCAGTGCAGACAAGCCCTCGGTCTTCAAGTGTGGACAAGCACATGGTAACAGATCCTAACTATACGACCCGTGCAGACCAGCCCTTGGTAACAGATCCTAACTATGCAACCCGTGCAGACAAGCCCTTGGTAACAGATCCTTACTATGCGACCAGTGCAGACCAGTCCTTGGTTACAGATCCTAACAATGCGACCAGTGCAGACAAGCCCTTGGTAACAGATCCTAACTATGCGACCAGTGCAGACAAGCCCTTGGTAACAGATTCTAACTATACGACCAGTGCAGACAAGCCCTTGGTAACAGATCCTAACTATGCGACCAGTGCAGACAAGCCCTTGGTAACAGATTCTAACTATGCAACCAGTGCAGACAAGCCCTTGGTAACAGATTCAAACTATGCCACCCTTGCAGACAAGCCCTTTGTAATAGATCCTAACTATAAGACCCGTACTGTCAAGCCCTTGGTAAAAGATTCTAACTATGCGACCAGTGCAGACAAGCCCTTGGTAATAGATCTTTACTATACGACCAGTGCAGACACGCCATTGGTAACAGATTGTAACTATGCGACCAGTGCAGACCAGCCCTTGGTAACAGATCCTAACTTTGCGACCAGTGCAGACCAGCCCTTGGTAATAGATCTTAACAATTCGACCAGTGCAGACATGCCGTTGGTAATAGGTCCTAACAATGCGACCAGTGCAGACAAGGATCATAATCTGCACAGTCTGTTCACTACTTCTGAAATTTTTCTTACAAATGATAAATGGTCATAATTTAATTGAAAGATGGACAAGACCATATATAATGCTTGGCAAGATATTAATAAAAACATTTTTACCTGTAAGCACGCTTCTTATGTACTCAAAATTCTCTGTTACGCCCTTCGTGTTTGCAGTGAATGCTAAAATAACAATAACCGTAAAAACTAAACAGGTAATCTTAATATATTTTGGTATTGAACCCGTTGATTTACTTGTTTCCACTCCATTTGAAGCCCTTGGTTTCGTTTTGCTATATTTTTCTGAACGAAATTCCTCCTCAGACACTTTCGGTTTGTCCGAAGTACTACGCCTTTGCCGAACTTGATCTTTGATATCCGACTTGTTTGTTGTCTTCATGATAATTTATATATCCTTTGTTGTAAATGATTTTCATGAACTTTACTTGCAAAAGTTAAGTTACTTTCGAGTTATATATGATGTAATGGAATTTTCCGTTCTAAAATTTGCAATACTTGTTTGAATGGGCTATTTTTAAATGAGTTTTCCAATAGCTAAGTAAAGATATAGGACTTGAGTCGTAACTACATTGAAAAAAGTATTGCATGTATCATTATTATTATTATTATCATTATTATTATTATCATTATTATTATTATTATTTTATTATTATTATTATTATTATTATTATTATTATTATTATTTTTTTATTATTATTATTATTATTATTATTATTATTATTATTATTATTATTATTATTATCATCATCATCATCATCATCATCATCATCATCATCATCGTCATCATCATCATCATCATTATTATTATTATTATCATTATTATTATTATTATTATTATTATTATTATTGTTGTTGTTGTTGTTGTTGTTGTTGTTGTTGTTGTTGTTGTTGTTGTTGTTGTTGTTGTTAAAAAAACATGGAAATTGAATAAGCTTACAAAATGCTGCCTTAAATTTGACTAGATTAAAGTATAACTAAATCGAATTTATCACGAGCAGTATATCAAACAACTATAAACAGGGGCTTCCCCGGATATTTAAAAAAAATGGAAATTTGAATAAAAGTACAAAATATTGCCTTACGTTAAAGTATTGCTAAATCATATTTATCACGAACAGTGTATCAAACTACAGACCCGAGACGAATGTGTGTAACTTGGTTTTTCCTATTCAATATCATATGACGTTGGGTAATAAAGAATAGAAGCGTGACACATTTTCGCAAAACAATTTAATCAGAGTTACAAAGCATACAATAGTATGACGGCACTGTTTAGTAATACATGAGTTGTGTCCCTTACAAAGTATCATTCTTATTTTTAATCGTTATATAGGTTAACATTTTGTTTTCTCAAGAAGTCAAAGTATTTTTTTCATAGAATTGAGATTTAACTACGATATCCAATCAAAATGCGCTTTTTCATATATTTCAACTTTTTTTTTTCTTTTTGGTCCATTCACACAAACATTTGTTTCGTTCCGGGCATATACCCGTACCACAAAGATTCACGGTAACAATTGCACGATTCCTGTGCTATTTTAAAACTCCTGCATTACGGATATATACTCTGATTTACATATTCTAACAAGAAAATAAGATCCATATTTTAGTTACTTCTTCTATAAGTTTCTTCCTAATTATATTTCTTTCTGTCTTCATGTAAATCTATTTCTCCTTAATTCTATTTAGCTAAATGATGCGGTCTTGTATTATTAATATCAATCTTCTTTTCTTTGTTTATTTTTTGTTCTATAAGTTACAATTAGATGTAAGAAACAGTTACACTTTAATTACTTATAATTATCAGGATTTCAAATCAGAATTATTGTGATTTAAAGCAAGTCACATAATACTGTCATACTGTAGTTTTGTAAATCCATTAGGAGATGGCTTACCAACCCTATTACATGTAGAGAAACTGATAGCGAACAGCATGGATCCTGATCAGACTGCGCGGATGCGCAGGCTGGTCTGGATCCATGCTGGTCGCAAACCCATTATGTTGGTTTTGTCGTGACGCGGCTCAAATGACTAATTGAATACGATCTTCGTGTTATCTTCCTAATGTTGACAATCAACCCTAAACCTCCTGAATTTATTGAATGGACTTGTCCAGCTTCCAGATTTTGGAACAGTCCATTATCAACTTAAGATATACAGGCTGACTTAATTGACTGCAATTCCGACAGGTTTAATGTTAAATTACAATCGTACAATATCAAAACCGCCATAAATTGTTTTATACAAAATGTATATCCTGACTGAAATATCTTTATGTCAGGGTTAAATCAATTAATAAATTTCACATTCACTGACAGTATATAATAACAAGTCAGCCAGTGAACGCATTAATAATTTTAGGTATAATAATACATAAACAAAACCCGATAGTATTTGAATAACTGTGACCTTAATCCATTAACATACCTCTAAAATCATCTTATTTTCTCGCATACACATAGTTTATCAAATACTTAAAATTACAAGTTTTACATGTTTTTCAAATTTAAAGGGTATTATCAGAAATAGAGACTTGATGAAAGGTATTTTAATAAGTTGTTTATCCAACTAACCGTTTTCATGTTTACATAAAAGATATATAACTCTTAAAAAGATTAATTTTAATGTATTTTCGTTTTTACGAACTTGTCGTGCTTTAGATGACATTGCGTTATTCAAAACGGTCAAAAACCCTATTTTTTTTAATTTCACTTATTTCTATGGTGCTTTTAATAGCTACATCGAATGCAGTAACACTTTGGTCAAAATTTGAGCTGTATATTAGGTTAATTATCATTGCAGTATCTATATAATAATACAAATAACCCAATTCTACCCGATTCACTATTATTTTGTGTCATCAATATTATGTTTAAAAATACTTTCATGCTTTAAGATAAATGTAAACATAGAAATGTAACTCAGTTATTCAACTTTAATTTACAAAATGCTTCAGGCCACCAGCCCATCATATGATAAATAATACAGTATAGGAAAAAAAACAACAATGTTCATCGAAGATTTTTTTTTAAAGTTGATAAAATATAGAAAGAATGAATAATTTAGGACACATAATATCAAATAATCAATAATGACAACTTGACAAGTCCTCTTTGACTCAAATCAATGTTACAAAGCGTTATAATTATAAAAGATGTTGATATTATTACCAATGTAAAAAAACACTTGCCCCTCACCGTTGTGGGTTCGAATCCCGACAGGGACTTTGGATCCTTTCAGGTAAGGAAACTATCCAGGTTGCTTACGGAATTTCGGTGGTTCTACTCAGGTACCCGTTCGTATTTGAAATATTAACACAACATAACATAAACGTTATTTTTTAGCATTTAACACAACAAAACAGAAACGTTTATTTAGCATTAAACACAACAACACAGAAACCTTTTTATAACATTTAAGACAACAAAACAGAAACTTTTTTTTAGCATTTAACACAACAAAATAGAAACGTTTTAGCATTAAATACAACAAAAAAAGAAACTTTCAGCATTTGAGAAATCAAAACAGAAAGTATTCCAAAAGTTGACTTGAACACAGCAGTTCTCTATCATAGCATACATTTGATGCACAAGAGGACTTGTGTTGAATTCTTAACTATGGCTGATTTGTACCACGTCGCTTAACCACTTTGTCGTATTATCGTGTTTCCGCCGTTTGCCACGCAGAACGAAATTACGACAATATATTGAATTGGTCGTATTTTCGCATGGCGCCTCGCGAAGCGAAAGTATACATAGCACAAATCAGCCACCATACTGTACCCTTACAAGATAAATGAAATAAATGTATTTGCCATCTTTCAGTCTAGACAAAACCAATAATTACTTTTCGGGAAATTTCAAAATTAGTACTGACTGCTTAGCGCAGAGTATGTGCCGGCGGATCTTGGTCTGCACTTCCAGTTGCCGCAAGAAACCTAAGAGTAAGATATATGTAATGCTAAATATGTTCTTCTACAGGCATTTTGCAAGTACATTGTATTAATTCACAAAATTTGGACAAAAAACTATTAACTGTAGTTTAAACAAAACCAGATCTATAGCTTAAACAAGAATTTACACAATCATGTTCATGAAATCATGCACCAAATTGACATGTTATTACGTCATTGGCATGTCATGTACATTTTTTTTGGCAAATTTCATTTTTTCCGTTCACAAAACTAGAAAAAAAAATCTACCGGTATAGATCCACTAAATATTAAAAGGATATTTATCTTATTTAAGTCGCCTACGGATGGATTTTCTAGTGGTCAAAGTTTTAAATCGGTAATCACTATCTATGCGATACTCAATAAAGTATTGACTAAAGAATTAGCTATTCTTCAATTTAACAAAACATTGTCGATTTGACGCTTTGGGTATATTCATATATACAGGACTTCAGAAATTTCAGAGTAATTATGGGATTACGCCCGGAGGAATGTAAAGTAAGTGACTTTTCTTTTCTACAACATATTTTTTTCCTGAAAATTAGTCTTCGTCTTTGAAAACTGGCGGTATGGATTTCCTTCTTAGTTTTTTTTAAAAAAAATTATGTTTCAAGTTAAATCTTTCATTTAAGTCTAATCATTGTAAAATTAATAAAATCATACATACAATATATGCATATACATTGCACATATAGCCATTCTAAAATAGAATTGTAAGAGACTATTTAGCATTATTTACGGACTAAAATTATACATATTTATTTACATGATATATATTTTTCCCAATTATTTTTAATTAATTAAAGTGTTTTATTGTAAAAATCATATTTTCGAATGTGGAGAAAATTTGTAGTTTATTTAAACTTCCATTACACTCTAACGTATAGCGTGGGTTTTAAATATTTAGCAATAAGTTCTACCTTAAAAGTTATACTGACTCGACCTTGGAGCCCGCTTTCCAGAATTAAATCAGTACTGATGATATTTGGAAAAATATGGTTGTGGCCATAATAAGGCTCGAACCCACGTAGATTCAGAATCCAACACCTTAAAGGGACTCCACTGGTTTTTTGTTCGGTATGATGGGACAGGAAATATTTTTCTAGATTTTTAAACCATTTGTTGTAGATCGATACCAATAAATTATGTACACAATTTTAGATCATTTGCTCACAGCTTTTTTTCAGAATTATCATTTTGTCGTGCAATATGACCTAAATATGAAAGCGTTTTTAAAAACGATTTTAACTAAAATCGGGTTAAGAAAAGTACTAAGTATTGATTTTCAATTTAATTTTGAATATATTTCTTTACTATCTTTCCGTTTTAATTGCCCGAGTTGTTCCGTGTAAGCTCTTCAAATTTTATGATTTAGGTTTTTGGACATCTGTGGAGTTCCTTTAACCACTTGGCTAGAGACATCCCCCCTTACATTTTTACCTATTTTACGTAATGTACGTTAAAAAAAGCTCCTTTTTACATGGATAGCGAGATAATATGTATGTCTCTCTCTATTTTTGCAATCTAAAACTTGATCTTTTAATGCGAAAATAAGTGTTCTTCATTTCCATTTTAAAAAATCTTGATCATTTATATTGTAAAATTGTTCAATAAAAGAAGTAAGATGTATCTTTAATCTTTGTAGACAGGTTAGGAAAACTCCTGAGTATCGTATTTCTTTTTTATATTCAAGAAAAAAATCGAACGATACGTAATTACAAACAAAAAATGAGATCTAGTGAGCGATGTAAAAAACACAAAAGCAAAATCGCCCAGCGCTCGCGATTTTACAATAAATAGGCATGTTTCATTTTTCAAAAGAACAATACATGGTAAACATAAGTATATGATAATTTAAACTTAATTTTCTCTGTATTTAAATACCTATATTTTCATTTAAATGAAATGAATAATCTTCTGTGCTTTTTTACAATTGTATTGACTTAGTGTCTTCATAAAAGGATTCGATGTTTGCTCTGGTATTTTAGAAAGTATAGATTTATGAAATTCCAATGTTTGTGCGTGAATAGGAACTTTTATCTCACAAAGCCAAATGGACAAAAATCCATTTGTTTTGTTACTGTTGGAAATGAATAGTTGTTTAATATTTTTGCGTTCATGTGCGTCAGCGTAATTAGTTATAATTAGAGTTTTTTGGACCAAGTTATATAAATTGAACACGTGTCTTGTAACTTTTGAGTGGTTAGTTACTAAGTATTGGATATACTTTATGGTTTGAAGTGCTGTGGAAAATACTTTAAGTAATTATTGTTTTTATGAATGTATTAAGGACACAATAGTACCCTAAAGTTAAATTTTGGCCACTATTAACACAAAAATGTATTAATATTTTGGAGGTTACAAACAGTGGCTGTAATAATTTGGTGTTTCAATTTGCATCAGGTGTTTTTTTTGTGTTTTATATTGAATTTTATAGACATGTATATTAATAAAATTTAGGTACAGCTGGGGAAATAGAAACAAGAGACTTTAAAAGTGTTCGTCATAATTTCTATCATTTCATATGAATAATGCGTAGACAAGTAATTTGTATTTTTTAGTACGATTTGAAAGAAAGATAAAAGTAACAGAACTATTACGAATATTGACGGAAATGATATTTAAATTGTGGAGGTAATATTTTGTTAAAGGAAGTCCACTGACATCTAACAGCCTGAAAAATAAAATTTGAATTTCTTACATAGACCAGCAGAGGTATTTCATACAGAAAAGGTTGTAAAAGATAAGTAAGATTTATACCAAGAAATAAATTCAAAATCGTATGTTTTTGTTATTCTTTGAGGGATTTGAGGGAAAAGCGTTGCAACGCTTTTTTGTGTCATTGTTTCACAATGAGAATAACTATTCTGGAAAACGGAACAACTGAATCATCTGATTTCTTTTAAGTTATCGGTCTCGACCTACTAATTGGACGATCATTTCCAGTCCCATCATATCAAAACACATCAGTGGAGTCCCTTTAAAGGCTCCTTCACGTGCGCTTTTTGGCTACTAATAGTACGTTTTGTAACGGAATCATTTATTTTCTATTTCAGAGATAATCGACGGTGATATTTGGAGTAGTTATTGTCACACTTGTTACTTTTATGTGGTTTATACCATTCCACCCAAAATGGACCAATAAATTTAATAGCAATATGTCGAAAAGAGGTCTTATATTCTTTATACGTAATTGTTATACGTAAAATATAAGGAAGTTTATACACGCAAGGATAAATCATGGTTAGGCTGGACAAGTGTGTGGAAGCGCTGTATGACAGTGTGACTGCGGACACAAGGAATAAGAACTTATCCATTCTCACTGTCATGAAAGGGGCGATAAGCATGTCAAGAAGTAAAACAGGGGAGTGCATCTTTCGTACAAACAAAACAGAACGGAAAAATCTCGAGCGTTTGATCCGAATTGAGGGGAGACACGCAAGCTACAGTATTGCTCAGATTGAAACGCAGCGGAAAAGTGTGATCAACCGGTGGTCAAAGGTTCTTGAGAACCAGACCTCGTGCAGTGCGGAAGTTTTGTTTGAAGAGCTTATGGATATCAATGACGGGAATGATATGAATCACGAAATTTCCTTGCACCGTGAAAGTCCTACTCACAGTGAAAGCCCCGAGCCCAAGGATGTTAAACTTAAAACCTTGATAGATATAAGACTAGCAAAGCTTGAAAATGAAAATAACAATAGTGGTTTTGAGACAGTAATGGCGGACCGGAAACGTCACAGTCGATATAATCTCGAGAGAAAGGCAGCAGACGACTTGGCTAGTGCTGATTCAGACACGGAATTTGTAACCGAGCGTAAAGATATTCGGAATAAATACTCCGGGGATGATGTTGTAAAGCTAGAACCGCCAACAAAAGATGGCGATGGCAAAACGGTTCATAGAATAGGCCTAACCAAATCTAGGACTGTACATTTACCCTCTGTCCGCCGACATAATACGGAAGTTGTATCAAAATCAGATGACACACCGGCGCCAGCGTTAGAACGCGACATGACAGACTGGGGTAACTGGTCGCTGAAAGACAAATCCTGGATAAATGGTAAGTCTTGGATTTTATCAAAACTTTAGCTGCCTAATTTCCTTCAGTATCACAGGCAAAGGACTTTTACGCATTAGATAGAATTTTACTGACTTAGGAACTGTAACGGTGTTCGCGAAAAAGCTCACAAAGTTCTTCTAGTAATATTTTACCATACAAGCAAAGCTCTATAAAATAGTTTTATCTATTAGCGCAGGAAGAAAAAAACACTATAAACTATAAATATAATATTAATTTATCATAGTCCAAAAATCAGAAATTGACTGCTGTCGATAAATTTCTTTTTGCAATAAAAAAGTGTTTAGTATTATACATTTTTGATAAAAATTCGACAGGTTATATTGCCGTATATAAACGGTTATTTGCAAAATAAACCTTGTCTTACGGTTAGAGTTATATTTTTATTAAAGAAAACGGGTAATGTATTCAAACAACCGTTTATATAGGGCCATAAAACCTTACAAATTCTTAATAATATAAGAATACTTTTCTGACGTTTTCCACCAATTCTGTAACAACTACCAGAAGTAAAACATTACACGGTATGGACGAATTCCATTTATTGTTTAGAAGTTCCTACCCCGTGAATATTGAGGAAAAAATAGCATTATTTTGTCCATAAACATATATAACTTTTCTAAAAATATTCATTAAAATATAATATGTGATTATAGTGTTTAATAGAAAGAGCATCATTTTGGTATTGAACTAGTGAATACATTGTGACCGCTCCGTTAATAAAGCGCCCTACATGTATAGTTTGCTGCAGATTACCATATTTTGATACCTATAATGCTTTGCACCTTTAAAAAAAAGTCACCGCTGCCTGTGGTCTTTTTTAATGTTAACATGGAAATTTGATTAATTAAAACAAGGAAATTTTTGTTCATTAAACGATTCATTTATCATTAAGGATGTATGTACATGTACTGAAATTATATTCAGAAATTTCGTTAACAAGAAAGTACTCTTTGGATGGCATTGCAGTATTGTGAATTACTTGTTCTTGAGTTCATAAACATGTAAGCTTCAAAGTCAAAGAAATCTTACTAGATGTATATAACAATAAATTTAATGCTATACAATAAAAAATAAATGCTATATATTAAGGCTATCCTTTAATAGTAATCAAACTACTCTTGAACTCTTTGACCTATAATTTTAGCACTAAATAGAGGATATTGAATGAGTGTAAGTTCAATACTGAATTTATTGCACGAGTTGAATAAATTATATTATGCGAGCCTCTGGCGAGCATAATATTATTTTATTCAACGAGTGCAATAAATTCAGTAATGAACTTACACGAATTTGATATTCTATGTATCACATACCCAAAATAAAGACCGTTTAAAGTGAAAAAAGAGTCATTTTTCATTGACGCGCCTATAGTATAACGCTTACATTTAGCGCGTCTCTACACTATGTTTGTATAACGCTAATGACGTCACGTCAAAATATATGCACGGCCGTGCAATACCATATTTACGGAACGGGTGTGTGATATCGATATTATGAATATGTATTTTATTTTAGGTTATCTTCGCCGAGAAAGGACAAGACACGCAGATTTGATTATTAGAAATGCTTTGAATAAAATAGAAACAGACATGTCCGGAACGCACAAAATCAGACGACAGCAAATGCGGCAAAAACTCCAAAACGAAAAGCAGCAACGGGAAGCGGAAATACGGCGAAAGGAGCGTGCGCAGAAGGAAGCGGAACTGTCACGCGAGATAGCTTTGTTATCGTCTGCAAGTGGGAAAAGCACACCAGACAGAGCTAAAGTCGCAATCAAAACTGTTCCAGTAGTAAAGCGTGTTGTATTTCAAGAGCCTTTAAATATAACTGGGAACCCAGACGGTCAAGATCCTTTGAGTGTGACTGGAAACTCAGTCAGTCAGAAAACAAATTTTAGTGTGCATAAAACGAATAAATGTAAAAAACGATACAAGCCATTGGCCAACACCTTCAATCATTTACCGGTGATTCAAGAAGGTTCAAGGCTGGTGAAAGTTACATCTACGTAATCATATAAAAACATTTTGGGGCCTATTTTTAAAATGGCACATACTTCGACTAATGATGACATTCAAGGTGATGACCTACACGACAAAGGCTTGCCAAACAAAAATGCTACGCAAACATTCAAATTAGAAATATGCACATCTTAAATTATGTTATAGCTGGGAATAATGATAAGGAGGCTTCCCAAACTTTCAGATTCCATCTTCATGTGCGAAAAGTTTTTCTTTTTTTGTGTGTGTTTTTGTTTTCATCTTTTTATCTACAGTATGAAATCCTGTAAACTGAAACATTCTTTAAAGCTTATTCTATGAATTTTGTCTTGTGTTTGTGCATATTCTACTTCATCTTATTTTCATGTGTTTTTGTTTGTTTTCAGTCTGCATGTAAAAAATGCAATAAAAAATATCTGCAAGAAAAAATATACCTGGTTATTTTTTGAAAAACAATGGTCATTTTATCACATGATTTTTCTTGTTGTTTTTTTTCCGTTACAAATGATAAAGCGTTACAAATGATAAGGACACAAAATAGCTGAAAATGATTTTATTGTATTTTCTTAAATGAAAACAGGCATAAAATGACAGCACTTAACAAAGATCAATCAAACTTTGAACACAGCCAATATTCAAAAGCAAAATCGTATTGTAACCATTTTCTGAAAAACTAGCTCAATCAAACTGTCACATCATATTGGATTATTCTTCCTTTAATGAAAGCTTGAGAAAAAATATACATCTATGGATGCCACATGCCAAAACGTTTTAAACACAGAAAAGTAAGACTTCAATTAAAATGCATGTGTATATTGAATGTAAACAAATATTAAACAAAATTGCAAAAAATTAGAATGGTAAATCCATGTAAGACTTTTATCATTCTTAATTAATAACACAGCAGACTGGGTTATACTAATTTACCTTCAAGGGAACCAATCCAATTATTACAGAAACCAGTCAACATATTATAAGGGAGCCAATCAGATTATTAGTTTACAGAAACCAGTCAACATATTTCAAACTAAGTAAACATATTTCAAGGGAACCAATCTAATTATTAGTTTACAGAAACCAGTCAACATATTTCAAACTAGTAACTAGTAACAACCCAATTACACAGTACTGTCACAATGTTTATCATGCAGGAACAAGGTCAAAATTTCAATTTAAAGTATAATTAAACAATTCATGGCATACATGTGTGTGCCTTTCACTGTCTTAGTATAAATCTGGACTTGTGTAAAACATATACTAGTATGCATAATGATAAAACTGCCCAAAACATGTGTTGTCCAGGCAAAGTCACACAAAGCAATGTTTAAGGCATATCATAACTTACTATGTCAAACACAAGTCTGACATCACTTGACAAATATAACACTTTCTCTCACAAATATATTGCAATATTCCATATATATGCCCCATAAAGAAAACACATGTGTGGCACTGTCATCAACACTCAAATATGTCACACACTTTTAAATGTCTTAAGAATAAGCAATTTCTCAAATACATACGCATATACCAAATTGTACAACACATGTACCTCAGTCTAATACACAGTCATGTCAAAAATCCTTCAACACATATGCAGCCCAGCCCAAAATTATATAATTCTAACGTATTATACATGCGATGTCATCCATTCATTATGTACACATTATGCCAATACAGGCATGTAAGTTATTCCAGGTGTGTAAATGCTGTGTAAATATCCAATTTATTTCTAGTCCAAAACTATGATCAAATCCTGCAAAAGAAAAACAGATTTGAAACTTCAATGCAACACAAAAATTTTCTAATAGCAATGATAAATGGTAAGTAATCAGAATAAATACTAAGAAGCGTAGGAATACAAACTCCTATGACCAATGAAAAGTTGTTATGATCAATGCTTGGTAACCACAGCAGGCTGTCAACCAGGTCTTATCCAAAATAAAGGAGGAATATAGGAATATTTTAGCAGGAAATATAGGAGTTTTTGGACCATTTTGAGGCAAAATATAGGAGTTTTCAACATAAATTGTTTAACTTACCAATGCTTATATAAATGTAAATTATTCTTACTTTTACACATGCTGTTTCTACAATAAAATGTCTACCGTATAAGTGAAGGACACCATTAGCAGGCTGTCCAGCACCTTCCCACATAAAATTAGGGCGAATTTTAGGGAAATATTTCAGAAATTTTAGGGCTAAAATTAGGAATTTTAGGGTATGTAATAGAAATTTTAGGGCTAAAATTTGCAATTTTATAACCAAATAAACTAAGGTCCCAAAGGACCATGATGTGGGCTAACCTTTGCATATTTGACACAAAAGTAACTCACAAATAATGCTCTAGTTTAGTTAGAGCAAAGGTGATACCAGTGTGGACTTACTGGTCAATTGCCTCCCCTGCGGAAATGGTCATAGTCAAATCATGTTCAAACCATTGGCTGAACATGTCAAAAAGAACATGTTCTACCTATGTGTCTAAAAGGAATTCTTATACAGTGAAATTCTTGCATAATGCAGCTTTTGAATATGGACAAATGAAATTTTTTGTAAAAGTAGGAAGTAACAAGAGCTGTCACAGGAGACAGCGAAGCTCGACTAATAAAATACTGGACGCAGTAAGGAGGACAAAACTATGAAAGAAAAATCAATTATGTATAATTATGTATTAAGTTATAGTAAAAAAATAACATTTGTTAACATAAATTCCAAGATCAAGGGAAATAATTCTAGAAATAGTCATGCTAGAGTTATGGACCTTGCCACACAACATTTGTGTAATGATAAGAAAAATATATATTTGAAGTTTGAAGTAGATACCTTAAAAAAATAAAAAGTTATTATATTTCTTAAGAAAATCCTAAGTTCAAAGAGAGATAAATCTGTAAATATTGCTTCAAGAGTTATGAACATTGTCACATAAAATGTAATTGATGATAAGGAATAAGTATTTAAAGTTTGAGGTAGTTACCTTTAAAAATAAAAAAGTTAATATAAAAAATAACATTTTTCTAGTAAATAAAACTAAGGTTATGGGGAGATAATTCTTGCAATATTAGTGCTAGAGTTATGAACCTTCTCACATAAGATGTTGATGATGATAACGTAAATATATTTGAAGTATGAAGTTGATCCCTTTAGAAATAAATAAGTTACAGTAAAAAATAATATTTTTTATGGAAAATTCTAAGTTCAAAGGGAGATAAATCTGAAAATATTGGTGCTAGAGTTATGAACCTTGTCACATAAGATGGGGATGATGATAATGTAAATATATTTGAAGTATGAGGTTGATCCCTTAAGAAATTAAGAAGAAACAGTAAGAAATAGTATTTTTTGAGGAAAATTCTAAGTTCAAGGGGAGATAATTCTGAAAATATTGGTGCTAGAGTTATTAACTTTGTCACATAAGATGGGGATGATGATAAGGTACATATATTTGAAGTATGAGGTTGGTCCCTTAAGAAATAAAGAAGTATCAGTAAAAAATAGTATTTTTTAAGGAAAATTCTAAGTTCAAGGGGAGATAAATCTGAAAATATTGATGCTAGAGTTATGAACCTTGTCACATAAGATGTGGTTGATGATAAGGAACATATATTTGAAGTTTGAAGTTGATACCTTAAGAAATGACAAAGTTATAGTGAAAAATATTTTACTGCACCAAAACTTTAATCTAAAATCTGGACGCGGACGCCGACGCCGGGGCGAGTAGGACAGCTCTCCATATACTTCGTATAGTCGAGCTAAAAAGGCATTTGCCTTAGTACAGTCATTTGAATAAATGGGAAGCATCTATAATCAACACAAAGAACACAACACAAAGAATTGCATATCAAAAAAGTTCATCACACTGACCATTCAATGGTAGTTTTATTGCAAAATGTGTGTACATTGTAAGTGGAAATGAGCTTTATATTACTGCCACATTATTTTGAGTGTGATTAATTATATGAGTATGTCTTTTCCTAAATTGCACCATATGAATGAAAGAACAAGAATTGGATGAAATTGAGAACTTTGTGGCAAAATAAGCAATTTCTCCTACAAAGACATCAAAAAGGATAAATAAGTATGAGGGAAAGAATTAATTTTTCAAAGTCTATTTTAACCCATTCAGTACTTTACAATGTTGTTTTGATATTATGCAGATTTAAATAAAAGAGTTGTGAGTAAACAAATTGTACATTAATTTTTGACAACTATTTATACATGTCTTTAAGTAAGATTGTGTTACAACAGCTTCATAATGATCATTTTCAAATATGATATGATATAAATGGACCACCTCAGAAATTTGGATAAAATGAACAAACATAAAATTCAAGATATCTGAAGTTGGCAAAACAGTGTCAAAATATTCCAGAATAAGTGGACCTCTTATGGTTATGATTTGAGTTTCAGGACCATGATATGGTAGTGTTTTTGTTGTTAACATGATTATCAACAACTGCTTTGATTATGAAATAGCAATGTTACTGACATAGTCAAAGTAACTTTTAGCTAAAACGAAACCATTTCATTGTCATCAATTTTAAGTTGGCAAATCATGCCCAAATCATTTTTGACCATGTTCAAAACATGGTTGACTTAGTTATGTCCGTGATTATTTTGACAGGGTTACAAGTTATAAATATGTTTATAACAAAAGATAAAAAAAATTTGGAATTTCAGTGAAAAAATAGGACATTTTTAGGAATTCCCTTTGAATTTTTCACTTTTTTAGGAATTTTAGCTAAACTGAAAAAAATTAGGATTTTTCAGGAATTTTAGGGACCCTGGACAGCCTGCATTAGCCTTGAACCACAGCATCAGCATCCTGCAAGAAAGTTACAGCAATGCATGACCATCATCTGAATGGTCACCTGAAATAAGTTGACATACTGATGCACTGCTTTTCATGGTGACCATGCAGATTGCTATGTGGAGCACAGCAGCCTTGAGCATAGTAATGTGATGCTGATGCAGGCATACACATTCTCTAACCTGTAAAATACAAAAGGCAAAAAGCAGTACCAAAATTTAAATCTCTCTGAATTCCTCGGCAATAATTTTTATAAAAAATATAGGAAAAATATTCAAAATATAGGAGAATATAGGAAAAATAGGAGGTTTTTTAAAATATAGGATTCCGACCCAAAATATAGGAGTTTTATAGGAATATAGGAATTGGTTGACAGCCTGCCATAGTTAAAAATAGAACTACGGAAAGCAATTCGGCTTAGTCCGTCAAATTGCCCGAAGTCCACCGAATAATATAACAAGAGGGCCATGATGGCCCTGAAGTCGCTCACCTGTATATAGGCCCCCAGAGTGGGGCCAGTTTAAACCCCAGGGCTTTTATTTGAACAAACTTGGTAGACACCCATTACAAAATGTTTCGTGCTAAACATCTAAGGTCTAGCTCGTTGAGTTTTTTAAAAAATGATTTTTTAAGTTTTAACTATGCACATATAGTTCAAAGCAATGACACCCCTAGGGCGGGGCCAATTTTGCCCCCAGGGCTTTTTTTTTTAACAAACTTTGAAGACACTCACTAGAAGATGTTTCATGCTTAATATCTAAATTCTAGCTATTTGATTTTTTTCAAAGAAGATTTTTAAGTTTTTGCTATACACATATAAGGAAAATCAATGTCCCCCGGGGCAGGGCCAATTTTGACCCTAGGGAATTTATTTGAACAAACTTTGAAGACACTAACTGGAAGATGTTTCATGCTTAATATCTTAACTCTAGCTATTTGGGTTTTTTCAAAGAAGATTTTTTAATTTTTTGCTATACACATAAATAAAATCAATGACCCCCCGGGCAGGGCCAATATTGACCCCAGGGCTCTTATTTAAACAAATTTGGTAGGCACCTATTAGAACATGTTATGCTAAATATCCTAGCTCTAGCTCTTTGGGTTCTTTAAAAGAAGATTTTATAAGTTTTTACTATAAGCATATAGGGAAAATCAATGACCCCCTGGGGCGGGGCCAATTTTGACCCCAGGGCTTTTATTTGAACAAACTTGGTAGACACCCATTAGAAGATGTTTCATGCTAAATATCTTAGCTCTAGCTCTTTGGGTTCTTTGAAAGAAGATTTTTTAAGTTTTTACTATATGCATATAAGGAAAAACAATGACCCCCGGGCGGGGCCAATTTTGACCCAAGGGCTTTTATTTGAACAAACTTGATAGACACTCACTAGAAGATGTGTCATGCCAAATATCTAAGCTCTACCTCTTTGGGTTTTTTTAAAAGAAGATATTTTAAGTTTTTTCTATTGGTTGCCATGGCAACCAGAGTTCTGCATGGAATTAAATTCTTTGAACAATTTTTAAAGGTGACCACCAAAGGAACATTCCTGTGAAGTATGGATGAAATTGGCTCAGCGGTTTATGAGGAGAGGTCATTTAAAGTAAAAGTTTACGGACGGACGGACGACGGACGAAAAGCGATCACAAAAGCTCACCCTGTCACTTTGTGACAGGTGAGCTAAAAAACAAGTTTCATTGTCGTAATAAGTAATTTTAAAACTTAAAATAATTCAATTGATAATTTCTTGAAGATATTTATTAATGTCACATAGGCCAAAATTCCAAACAGATATTAATGCCCTAATTATTGTCTACATCTCTTTCCTGGGAAACATAAAAATATGTTTAATTTCTTGAGGATATGCAACTATGATGGTTTGTGGATTCAAAACCATTTTTTTATCAGAAAGCTAGGGGGTTTTTTTTGCTGCTAGTATATTTCTTTCTTTCTTTCTTTTAAAAAATCAAAATTGCAACTTTTTACAATCAGCATGATAACTTCAATATATACTTCAATTCAGACATAAATGATAAATAAACATAGGTAAAAATGGTCACAAAAGTAAAGAAATATAAAATAATGATTTATATACTTTTTAACAATTTGTACAACGTCTTCATCATTAAGCATGTGTTCTTTTCCGACCTTCTGTGGTTGATGTTTGACTGATGATCCCCATACAAGAGCACTAAAAGAAGAAATAAAGAAATAAATATGTTTTCTTCCTATCTATACAAACAAGTAATTTAAAAAAAAAATGAAAAAAGTTAAAAACACAATAAACTTAAATTCCATCTCATTGGCAAGTTGTTTTTTTTCTGCCTTCTAATTTTCCACCTATTTTTCATATATAAGTTCTAATATCATATTTAAGGAACTCCACTGAGGTTTAAAATCCTAAAAACATAAAATTTGAATTTCGTACATAAATCAACTGAGGCATTAAAAGAGCCAGATATGCATAGGTAATTAAGTGATTTACTCAGAAACAAGAGCTGTCGGTAGGACAGCAACGCTTGACTATTCTTAGTGCTTGATAGTAAAAAAAATGCTTGATACAGTTACCTCCTCCTGTTTACAGGTTGGGGTAATGATGGTGAACAAGTGTGCAAAGTTTCAAAGCCATATGTCAGTGAACTTTGAAAATATTTGAGGTATTACAAAAACTTTAACATAAATTCTTAGTCGAAAAAGGGGCATAATTCTGTCAAAATGCTTGATAGAGGTACCTCCTCCTGTCTACAAGTTGGGGTCATGATGGTGAACAAGTGTGCAAAGTTTCAAAGCCATATGTCAATGGACTTGGAAAATATTTAAGGTATTACAAAAACTTTAACATAAATTCTAAGTCGAAAAAAGGGGCATAATTCTGTCAAAATACTTGATAGAGTTACCTCCTCCTGTCTACAGGTTGGGGTTATGATGGTGAACAAGTGTGCAAAGTTTCAAAGCCATATGTCAATGGACTTGGAAAATATTTAAGGTATTACAAAAACTTTAACATAAATTCTAAGTCGAAAAAGGGGCATAATTCTGTCAAAATGCTTGATAGAGTTACCTCCTCCTGTCTACAGGTTGGGGTCATGATGGTGAACAAGTGTGAAAAGTTTCAAAGCCATATGTCAATGGACTTTGAAAATATTTGAACTATTACAAAAACTTTAACATAAGTGGTTACGCCGACGCAGACACCGACACCGACGCTCGGGTGACTGCAATAGCTCTACTTATTCTTATCGAATAGTCAAGCTAACAAATTAGAAATCACATGTTTTTGTTATTCTTAGGCCGTTTTGGGTGAAAAGTGTTGCAACACTTCAACTACGGGTCATTTTTCAGAGTTAGAATAATTATTTTAGAAGAACATTTCAACTACGGGTCATTTTTCAAAATCAGAATAATTATTTTGGAAGAACAGTTTAAGGGACTGATCTGTAACTTTGCAGACAAGTTATTGGTCTAGACATACATGACATAGAACATTAATCTCAAAAAATTATTTCAAGTCCTGTCATGTCAAAAAAATTTAGTGGAGTCCCTTTAATTAGTTTATTCATAAGCATATTCATTAACCATTATAACACCAAATTTAGTAGTCCTGTAATGAAATTGGAACTGCCCATTTTTGAAGGTAGGGATTCCAATATCTAAATACTTAAACTTAGCAGCCAATAGTATGGTCTGATAAGACAAATAAGAGTTGGGATTTTTTTAGAAGACTTTTATATGAGTCATTGTAAAATGAAGTGACACATTAGGGTACAGCCAATTGTTTTTCAAATATCATGATTTGGATAAACTTGATAAAGGTCTAGACTTTTACTACAAAATGATTATTTAATAAACAAACTAACAAGATGGTTCTAGGTCATGTGATTTTTTTTATTTTCTTAAAACTTTAAAGAATTCACTTTTAAATTCTATCACATCTGTGACAAATCTTGTATAATGGACCAGCACCATTAGACCAGCCATGGTAGAGCCATTTTATATGATCAACTGAGGACAATAGACCACTCAAGACAAGTTATAAGTCTTTGAACTTCACATACATTATACTCAGACGGGCTAAGAATTTGGCTTTATTTACCACCTGAGAGCATTGAAGGGTCTCCCCCGAAGTCTATAGCTGCCATTCACTCAAACGCTTTTCACTAAAAGAATCACACATAAAATTTGAGGCCTTTTGGGCCTCAGTGGTGCTCCTTTAACAGTATTGGTACTACCAAGCCCCATCAAAATGAGCAAATTAAGAAAGATGACTGAAATACATTGTACTTACTATTTAAATTCTTTGAGGATACTTCTATGCACTTTGTTACAAAAATCTTCCATTGAGCTTTTTCCATCCTTCAGTACAATAGGAGCTGTGTAGTCTGGTAACTGGCCTTTAGGTTTGGTGTAACTAAAACATTAATAACAGTAGCATTTGTCCTTTATCTGTTCTTTAACTTTAACCTGCTGAATTTATGTGATAGATTTGCCTTACTTTATCTCTGACATAGTTCATTCAAAGTTAATGGGACTTTTAAATCAAAATATGAACAGTTCATTTATATTATTCACCGGCAATTAGAAGTGAATATGAGCCAAACATATTTGTATGGACAATAGTATATAGCGATAATGCAGTAATCTATTGTCTAACAATATTGACTTGAGACTGATCAATTTTTAGGAAGTTTTTCTTGGTTTTTTACGAAATATTCATATCCAAACATTGGTTTCAATAGTACAGTGTAAATATGGTTTTCAATACAGTCAACTTTTGTTGATCCTTAATTTTTCTTTACAATTCCAGATAAATCGAGTTGACTTGATGTTAGGCCTAAATGACATAGCAGTAAATAAAACATGGCTGTATGGCAGCCACTTAGATGCCGGTTCAAAGTCCTGCTGCAGATACCAATATATTTCAAATTATTCGTTCTTTTAAACTTTTTTTTCTTCTTTAATTATTAGCAGTGAAAATAAGTGGATGAATGAATAATTTGGTTCTTTTCTTGTGTCTTTTTATTTTCTTCTCTTTCCTTTGAATATTCAACCTTCAATTAGTGAAGAAATTCATTAACATCTAAGTTTAAAGTATTTGGACAGTATTGCCACATATTAATAGTGACAAAAGTGAAATGGAATGGCATAATTATAACATTAAATATTATCAAAATCAGAAAATCTTACATTCTGCACAGTCTTAGATAGTCCCACATCATTTCCAATAAATCATCAAAGTTCCATTTATGATGAGCTGAGATTGGTACACAGTGAGGTACTTTGTATATAATGTCCAGTTCCTGTAATAACAAATGTGTCAAATATTACTTCCATAGACAATTCATTCAAATATTACCTCCTTAATTTAATTTATTCAAATATTACTTTCTTAATATAATTCATTCAAGTTTCATCTAAGGGAAAGAAAGAAAAATTATTTTTTAAATAGTATACATTCATACATGTATAAACATTCAATAAACCAAGTAAAAAAAGGACAGAAATGTCTGCCAAAAAATAAGACAAAATGAATTACAATGAATTTCGGACCAGAAAAACACAAGCCATTAATTGCAACTATTGGTTAGCAATATCTAGATATAACTTGACCTAATAGTTTTTTACATGCCAAATATTGTTAATCTTTGAAAGTGAATAGTAAAATTAAGAATGGTGTAATATTGTTATTCCTTGAATCAAGGGAAGTTAGTTGTTACACAGTTATTGGAAATTCAATCATTTTACTTTCAGAAACAAAGGTAATCAATGGCTCATTTTACAAAGGCTAGTCAGAATAGCAACTTGGAAAATTTTAGAGGCCTGTCTGAAATTCTACTAGCCCTCACATAACAATGATCGAGATGAAAACGGCCCTTATTGTTTTTTGGTATTAACACCAAGCTATTTTGCTTTGAAAGATTCTAAACACAAAGTTTCACCACAAAATTTGTGGCACCAAAGGATTTCAAGCCACTGTATTAAACCAGCGCACTAAGCCGACAAGGTTCATTACCTCTATAGAAATCTGATCAATCTTGTTTAGTAAATATATAGCTGGTATGTAAATTCTGTTTCCTTCTACCACGTCAATCAAATCCTCCGTCGTGTAGTCACCTCTCAATGTTATATCAGCATTGTGGATCTTATACTCCGCTAGAATAGTTTTTACCAACTCTTGGTCCAACTCTGACTGAGCAACCTGGAAGTACAATGAGACAAAAATTTCTATGAGTATCCAAAAATAAAGAATACAGGACACGAATTCCACCTTGTTCCACTGTTGTTACAGTCTACAGATGGACAAAATGACAGCAGGATGGACAAGGGCAAATATATATGCTTCCGCCCCAACTAAATAATGAGGGCATCAAAAGGTCAATAGAGTTTAATTATAATTTAATAATTGACACCATCACGCGTTCAGGTCATAAGGTCATTATTCTTGCTTGCTTGGTGATGGAATATATATCTATACTTCTAAAGGTATTTATCAATTCTTGATAGAAATACCTAACTACATCAAATAGGTTTTCAGTCACGTTTTTTTCCCCTGCAACTTTAATACAAGATATGTTTGTAAAATATGTATGCCCCCTATCAGCAGCCAATTAGTCATGTGATAAGGTTATTATGCATGACTTCTGACCCAGTGATCAAAAAATTAATAAGGGTTATCAAGTATCTACTGGTCATGACCTTAACCTTTGACCCCTTGACCCAAAACTCAATAGGGGTCATCTGCTGGTCATGACCAATCATCATACAAAGTTTGAAGTTCCTAGGCCTAAGCGTTTTTAGTAAATTGATCGGAAACCGTTTTTACCTACAAGGTCAATGTGACCTTGACCTTTGACACCTTGACCCCAAAATCAATAGGTCATCTGCTGGTCATGACCAATCACCATACCAAGTTTGAAGTTCCTAGGCCTAAGGCTTCTTTGGTTATTGATCGGAAACCGTTTTAACATACAAGGTCAATGTGACCTTGACCTTTGACCCCAAAATCAATAGGGGTCATCTGCTGGTCATGACCAATCACCATGCCAAGTTTGAAGTTCCTAGGCCGAAGCGTTCTTTAGTTATTGATCAAAAACCGGTTTTACTTACAATGTCAATGTGACCTTGACCTTTGACCCCTTGATCCCAAAATCAATAGGGGTAATCTGCTGGTCATGACAAATCACCATACTAAGTTTGAAGTTCCTAGGCCTAAGTGTTTCTTAAGTTATTGATCAGAAACCGTTTTTACTTACAAGGTCAATGTGACCTTGACCTTTGCCCCTTGACCCAAAACTCAATAGGGGTCATCTGCTGGTCATGACCAATCATCATACAAAGTTTGAAAGTTCCAAGGCCTAAGCATTTTTAGTTAATTGATCGGAAACCGTTTTTACCTACAAGGTCAATGTGACCTTGACCTTTGACCCCTTGACCCCAAAATCAATAGGTCATCTGCTGGTCATGACCAATCACCATACCAAGTTTGAAGTTCCTAGGCCTGAGGGTTCTTAAGTTATTGATTGGAAAGCATTTTTACCTACAAGGTCAATGTGACCTTGCCCTTTGACCCCTTAACCCCAATATCAATAGGGGTCATCTGCTGGTCATGACCAATCACCATATCAAGTTTGAAGTCCCTAGGCCTAAGGGTTTTTCGTTATTGATCGGAAACCGTTTTTACCTTCAAGGTCAATGTGACCTTGACCTTTGACCCCTTAACCCCAAAATCAATAGGGGTCATTTGCTGGTCATAAACAATCACCATACCAAGTTTGAAGTTCCTAGGCCTAAGGGTTCTTTTGTTATTGATCAGAAACCGTTTTTACCCAAGAGGTCAATGTGACCTTGACCTTTGACCCCTTGACCCCAAAATCAATAGGGGTCATCTACTGGTCATGACCAATCACCATACCAAGTTTGAAGTTCCTAGGCCTTAAAGTTCTTTAGTTATTGATCGGAAACCGTTTTTACCTACAAGGTCAATGTGACCTTGACCTTTGACCCCTTGACCCCAAAATCAATAGGGGTCATCTACTGATCATGACCAATCACCATACCAAGTTTGAAGTTCCTAGGCCTTAAGGTTCTTTAGTTATTGATCGGAAACCGTTTTTGCTTACAAGGTCAATGTGACCTTGACCTTTGACGCCTTGACCCCAAAATCAATAGGGGTCATCTACTGGTCATGACCAATCACCATACCAAGTTTGAAGTTCCTAGGCCTAAGGGTTCTTTAGTTATCACTCGGAAACCATTTGGTCTACGGACCGACAAGTGCAAAGCAATATACCCCCTTTTCTTCGAAATGGGGGCATAACAATAAAGATATTCTATGCTATCTTATCTTAGAAACTGAACTTTGTGGTGCTGCAAGCTTCTCTCATTGCAGAGTACAAAATGTAAGATTTGACAATTCTAAAGATTGTTTTTGTTCTCTGTATTTTTCAAAAAACATCAATAGGTTGTTAGGAAATTTTTCAGAAAAACTATTTATGCGAATAGAGATTTCTCAATAAAATTACAAGTTGAACAATTTACAATAAACAAAACTTATGCAAAAGGGAACAATTCCAATTTTACACTTAGAATGTCTATGAATATAGTAGTGTAATACCGTAGCAGTGAGATTTAGTCCCCCCTTGTCTTTTTTCTTGAAGCCAATATTTGGCGGGTCTCTGTTAAGTCGTATACCGAACCCTTCGAGTTCATACTCTATCAAACGTTTGTGCTGTAATGGTTTCAGTACATCTAGCACTATAAATATAATGTTGCAAGTTCTTGCCACTGAAATAGAGAGAAAACTTATTTAAGACAAATTTCAAAAGAAAATCTTTAAAGAAACAAAACACGGCCATATTCTCAGAGTATGGTTATAAAAACAAAAAACCATCTCTTCAATTTATCTTTGTTAACAAAAGCGAATCAATTTTGTAAACATATAAAACATTCAAGCTAGAGTTATTGCCCAAGGTCAGTATTGTGATCCCACAGACAAGCATGATGTTTCAAATAAATACAGTACATTCAGTTGTAAAGTGAAATTAAGAGTCAAGCAATTAACCTTATCCAATATGTTATGCCAATGCCGATAGAGAATGACAGCCACACTTGTCTCTAAACAAAGGAAAATTTTATCATGGTTATAAAGTAGTACACTTCAGCCTCATTAAAACGCTGATGTTGGGGTCCAATGTCTCAACACCGCGTTCTAACGAGGCTCTCATTAGAACGCTCATTGCGAAATTACCGCATTACCCCACCCACCACATGCATAAATATAATGCTGATTTTTTTTACTTACTGTTCAATGTTTTTTTTTTTGGGAGCCAAGGTCTATGAGCGCTATACTGAGATTAGCGTTATAATGAAGAGCGAGTTATCGAGGCTACAGTTTACTGTCATCTATAATGGTGAAAAAGAATGAAAAACTAACAAACCTGCTATAACCTGTTTACCACGACCTTTGCCATCTTTGGCTCCTTCAATAATACCTGGTAAATCTAACAGCTGTAAGAAAAAGTACATTATTTTTCAAGATATATAAAAAAGTACAGAAATACATTTGCATAAAATAAAATAGCTATTGTAATTTATATTAATAAGTCATGTAACAAGCATCTTAAAGTAAAAAATAATCTTGCATGCAATCAACTAGTAATGTGACCAGTGGAAAGGTAATTACTTTTAAATCTACCCAACATTTTTGTATTCCAAAAAAGAACTATTTCATAAAATTATTTGACCTTTCACATTATTTAAACATTTACAATGTTTTTATACAAGATACTGGTATTACCAATTACACATCCGAGTAAGAACAAGACATTATGCTAAAGGTTTTGTTTGTTTGATTGGGTTTTACATAACACCAACACAGCATAGGTCATATGGTGACGTTCCAGCTTTACTGGTGGAGGAAGACCTCAGGTGCCCTTCCATGCATTATTTCAGGCACGAACGGGCACCTGAGTAAAACCACAGACGTTCCGTAAGCTAGCTGTATAGCTTCCTCACATGAAAGAATCCAAAGTCCCTGTCGGGATTCAAACCACAGCGGTGAGGGGCAAGTGGTTTGAAGTAAATGACCTTAACCACTAGGCCACGGACGCCCCTAAAGGTGATCAATGTACTTCAACAAAAAATATGTGTAAACTATACTCAAAGTTGGAGGACTATTTAAGGTATATTCCTACCAAATATTGAACATATACATGTATGCTCCCATATATATCATAACTAAGCCTTAACCTGCTGGAACCATAGAGACTTTCATCAGTATAGAACATGACCAGCCTATATATCAGTGCTGTCACACATGGCTAAATACTGTAAGTAACTCAATTTTTGTTTTTTGATATTCAAATCTCTTCATCTTTGAGGGGGGTCTGTGGCCGAGTGGTTTGGTCGTTGTCTTCAACCCACTTGCCCCTCACCACTGTGGGTTCGAATCCCAAAAGGAACTTTGGATTCTTTCATGTGAGGAAGCTATTCAGCTAGCTTACAGAATGTCAGTGGTTCAACTCAAGTCCCTGTTCATGCCTGAAATAATGCACGGAAGGGCACCTGATGTCCTTCTCCACCAGTAAAGCTGGAACGTTGCCATATGACCTATACTGTGTCGATGTGACATAAAACCCAATCAAACAAATCTTCATCTTTGAATAGACTGTTCCAAATTCAAAGCAGGTCATATCCATTACAAAACTTCAGCAGCAGCTTCAGGGCTAATAAACTGAATCATACCTGAATCTTAGCTCCTTTGTACCTAATTACACCAGGTACAGTGGTTAGAGTAGTAAACTCATATGCAGCAACCTCGGAATAAACACCAGCTAAATTACTCAATAAAGTTGACTTGCCAACTGATGGAAATCCTTAAATATATGATTAATAAAACTTTTACACAATAAGGCAACAAATTAAAGCGTTTTTTTCTCTACTTTGAGAATGGTGCCGGTACCAGACTGATTGGGAAAAAAATGTGTTTGACTAAAAAAAATTTTGACTAAAATTGGGAATTTTTTTAATGCATTATTCAGCTACAAATAAGATTAGTCATCATGAATAAAGATAGCTAACAGCTTCTACTGTCAAGATAGAACTATTTAGTGGTGATTTATATGAATATGTTGGATTTAAATGATTTTAGAAAAATCACTTGGGTGTTGTGGGCATTTTAAACAGCCATTTTGGGAATTTAAACATTGGAAATTGGGAACTTTAATATCTATTTTCTATTGGGAACAGTACCATTTTAGGGTAGTAGTTATATCACTGAATTAGAACATGTAAAGAATATGTACACATAAAATCTGACACAACCTGGAAGGGTAAATAAAAAGTAAAGTTTTGTTTAAACGTATCATAAAAGGGAGTCAATACAAACTAACAAAGTAAAGTTTGGTTTAAGCATCTCAATTTTAGCTACATTTGTAGATTGTGATGGAAGCTTGAAGATTATTTAAACAACTTACGAACTTCCTGGATAATAACCTGCACTAGTGTCATTACAAATTTTGAGGGAACAACATAGTTGTAAAAATGCATTTGGCATGTGAAAAGAAAATATTTCTTTTAAAATTAATATCACTCACTGCATGCAAGGCAGACTGTTTCTTTCATTCTAAATAATCACAGAACCAGCTACAAATGTATTCACGAATTCGAAAACCTTGCTAAACACCGTATTCCGGTACTTTCTGTACATAGCTCTGGGGAATTCACCTAATTGAGTGTAATAATTAACTTTATGATTTTGGCCTGTTTTTAATTAAATTGAAATAAAAAAGTTATTTGTTTGAAAGAAAATAATTAAATATGATTGAATGAATAATTCTGTACAAAAAAAAATAAAGTTAATACACAAGTTTACGCAGAAAATATCTCTATTTATTATGGAAATGTCACTACAACTGTGGATACCTACCAACAAAACCAATTCTAGCATCTCCAGTTTTGGCCACATCGAAACCTTCCCCGGCACCACCCCCGCCTCCTTTAGGTTCAATCAGTTCACGTTTTAGTTTGGCAAGGCGAGCTTTCAAAAGGCCAAGATGGCCCATCGTTGCTTTGTTTTTCTGTGTTCGAGCCATCTGGAATTTAAAATGGATTAATGGTAAAATATAATAATAAAAATATATTGTTTAATGCTGAATTGGGGAAAGTACATGTAATACATTTTATAAAAGATCAACACTTACAGTCATATACATTGTAGCTATAAAAGTTAAAACAAATAAAATGGACTTTTCCAAATCAATGAAAGTTTTAGGCCAATTGCTCTGTTATGAAATATTCAATGATTGAGCAAATTAGGGTGGGTCTCTCTTGGAGGAAAAAACTGCTACTCAGTTAATGTCATAGAGTGACATTAAAAGACAGTATCATTCATATATCTGAAGAAAATGTGTCAAATATGTTTTTTAAATAAATAATAACTAAAGAAATTATTATGTACAGTTTAATTTTAACGTTTTTTTTTTAATCTGTCAGTGGGTACTGCATCAACATTTACATATATGACAGAAATGCAAACATTCTCTTTTTCAGTAATTTACTGTTTCATAAGAAGCACTTCCAGTAAAATGGCAGTTTTGTCTTGACCTAGATATTACTTTCATAATTGACCTTTTCGAAAACCTAGCTAAACACCGTTTTCAACGTAAGTGTTAATTTCAATTGCAATGTCCAAAACTTTGCACTACACGGCGTAATTTTCATTACATATCCGGTATTATCACCGTCAGGCCAAAAAAAAAAAATTGTTTGTTTAGGGTAACCTTCCCAAAATTGCTAGGTAGGGTAGGTAGGGATTTTATTTTATTTTATTATTTTTTTTTTTCAAAATCTGCCGTTAGTTCAGAGTGTTTTCTTGCACACGGCAGTCTTTCCTCCACTACTGTCATTGCCTTTGTATTATCATGTTTTATCATATAAACAATAATTCTGATTAAAATCTGCATAGCTTTAATGCCATTTAATGTTTTCAATATTGAATAAAGACAATATACCCAATTATGTGTTAATGTTGATGTTTGTTTACTACAGGCACTACTTTGAAGTTTGGCTCTAACATGAACAGCAAACAGATTCTCATCAGCTTGCATGGTTGCAATTCTGCTGATCTGAGTCTACATTGGTTGCAAAGGGCAGATCAATCCTCTGCTAGCATGTTAGGAGTTAAGCACAATAAAAGAGCTTAAATGACATTCTGTGATCTGGGTTTCAAAGTTTTAGTTAAAAAATCTAGACGTTGATATTCATGCAATAAATACTGCACATTTCATTGAATTAAAAATTGTAGTGCTGACATATTGAAGCTCTTACAGTATTACAAAGTGTATATTTTGACACTATGGTACAATTTAACAAAGTCTATAATTTGGATTCGGGGTCTAAACCAGGAGTAAATATATGGTTCATTCCGTTTTCTCTAGTTTTTATGTAGAAGAAATTCTACTTCAAATATTCACCGGGGTTTAATCTAGGAGATTGCCTTATTTTCTATTTCTGCAGGGCTTTTTTTTTTAAATTTTTTGGAAAAGGCCTGGCCTTTCAGTAGGGAAAAAAATGCGCGAAAAAATGACATTTTGGGGAAAATCTCTTACATTAAAAAAATAAGTTAATCACTTTAAAATAAACAATAAGAACATGGAACAAAAGTCAGGTGAGTAATACACAATGAAAACAGTTCAAATCTCAGAACCATCTTCGTGGCCTTGAATTCCTTAACATACAAAACCACTTTATTTAAGTTGGATATCACTTGAGTTAATATCATTTGTGGTGTTGCCAAGCTTCAACATTGCTGCAAGCTCCTCACACACCTCCCCTATTTATTTCAGAATAGTTGCTTTGATTTTTCTATGTTAAAACTGAGTTGAGAGCTAAATTAATTAGATGATGATTCTCAAATGACATTTTGACATTTAATGCATATAATCAATTGATTATTTTATGTTTTGTAATTTATTTACTTAAACTAACTCATTCATCTCCGAATTCCAGCCGAAAATCAAACAGGAAGTAGGTCGTGAAAATATGTGATTATAGAATATTTTGCCGATTTTTTGTATTAATATAACTCCATATTCCCCCAGACTATGATTTAAATCTATAAGAATAAATACGGAAACATATTTTTACAAATTTCTGCATATTTTGAGTGGAATTTTCAGAAAGACAGGATGTTTAGAGATTTGATCAGCGTAAGGGAGAGGGTTGCCGATCGGCGGCGTTGGACTTTTTACTTGCAGGACAATCGGTAATATCAAACACTGAAGGCCCTATAAAAATTTGAACTATTAATGAAAATGTGATTTCTTTTAAACAAACAAGCCATAATAAGCGTCTCATGCGTTCTATTCGCATTTATCCGCCCTTTGTAACTCTCTATTCGCTAACGAATATTTTTTTTTTTGCTCAGAAACGGAAAAAAATAGTTAGGGTCGGCACATTTTTATAGGTAGGGTTGGGTTACCCGAAACAGACATATTTTTTTTTTAGGCCTCATGGTAGTTTTTATTCCACTCGGTCAAAATGACGGTACACATTTACATGTAAACAAACGGATTTAACTTCTCAGACAATTTAAATAAGGAATGGACACACGGTAAACTCTGTTGCAACGTAAAGTATATTCATAAATCTGTTTGAGAAAAATTGTCTCCGTGTTCAAATAAATTTCAAAAACGGGGAAAAAAAGCAGTCTTTTACCGATACCCTGCAACAGAACCTTATTATTCTGACGAATTAAATTGACTTTATAACGCTCGTATACAATTATTTATTATATTTATTTTGCAATACCTGTCATTCAATATGCAATGAAACAAAACCAAGTTTTCATACATTATAAGAAATTGCAAGTTAGGACGAGCTTTCAAAACGAACAGGTAGAATTTCCAACACGCTTATCGAAACACCAACATGGCGGCTCATTTGCATAATTTATTCATAAACGCAGGAGCATAGAACTTTGTTAGTGAGATGTAGATCTAGTTCTTAAAAAGCAAGATCACTTAATCTGAATCAGTTTAATGAAACAATAAATAAAGGTAGATGTATCAGATAAATTATTTTTATTACAATTTGCCGGGAAAAATAAGTATTATAATAAGTATCTGGTTGTTTTGATAAATTAACATTATGGGTCGAATTGTTAGAGGGACGAATCATATTATCACCGGGATTAAAGTTGTTTTACACAGAAAATAGTGCGTCCTGTTATCAGTTATTCATAGTAAATTACCTCGGCTTCAATTTCAGATATCTTCTCAAGAATTCCCATTTTGATTCGAGGACAATCAGTTAAAATAAACAAAAAAATAAAAGAAATGTGGACTTCTTTCACAACCGGAAGTCGTTAACAAGCCGGTGTAACGTGATATTTAATCAAGGCAATATGCTACTAAATGTTTTCTAGTTGCCTTTTAACATTTAGTCATTAATTTTCACATTTCTACTGTCAAGAAACGTTGCTTGACTGATTACTTCTTTATAAGCACCTAAGAGACAATCACTTTGCTGACAATAGAAAAATCTTTAAAAAGAATCTTCATTTTCACTGAAAATGCATTGTAGTTATACGTCAAAAGTTAATTCACAATTAAGGTATTTACATTAATAAATAATCATGAAATTTAATTAAAGATCTACTATGTTCAAATTTATTTTTGAAAAATTCTGATACAATTATAATTGTCTTTCGGTGTAAATGTTTTGGCTTCCATGTTAATTTACATGCTGTGTTTTAAACTCTGCACAATAGGTGGACACAACATGAATATATATCATGTCGGTAAAAAATCTAACAATTTTTTTTAAGAGAAGGCCAACTTAACCTGGCCTATAAAAGGGAATGCATCATTCAAAGTATACATGATTTATACATTCTTTATTGGAAACAGACGTTTTTGTCTTACTGATCAAACACATAACAAACAAACAAGCAAACACACACATACAAAACTGCATATTACGGTGCGTAATCGTTTCGGGATGATTTGGAATATTTCCCCGTTCCTGAACTGATTTTCATTTATTTCACAAAATTGATTAAGATAAATTGGATTTTGAGCTTGACAACTTATAAAAGACCGTTAACTTACCTTATAAAGTTGTATATGAATTCCTTAAACATGGCAAAGATTAACAGATGTAAATGTGTTTATCTTTTATATTTTCTTACCTCGTCAAGCTTAAAATTCATTTTATCTTAATCAATCCGGTGAAATAAATCCAAACCAGTTCAGGTACGTGGAAATATTCCAAATCAGCCCGAAACGATTACACTCCATGTAAATGATGGTCTCTGATGCCTATTCTGGTGCACATTTTGAAATACGAGTACGGTAGACTTTTTTCATTTGCCCAAGAAAACTTCTGACATGCAAGGAAGTTAAATTTTTAACCCTCTTTAGAACCTTGATTTTATAGGTATATGGGTGATATTGTTTGATATATTGACAAAGAGAAATGTATCAAAAGTACTTCAATTAATAAGCATTTATTATTTTTAGCCTGTTTTGCTGATACATTAATTTATATCAATATTCGCGCCGTTTTTTGGCTGTTTAAGGTGATATGGCTGGAGTCCGTACTCTCAGTTCCTGAAACAGCGGATTGCTCTTCGTTAAGAATATTTGACCTGTACGGAAAAAAAATGGATTGCAAACCTAATAGAATATCATTCAACAATGATTTTAAACTGACAAAACATATTTTTTTTTTAAAAAGTTGTGTAGACGGGTATACATTGGTATATACTTTGGCATTGAGACACTTTTCTGTAATATAATTTTCTGATGTTGGGTTGTCACAGACAGTGCTTGGCATAGTTAAAGATTTCTAAAATACATTATAATGACACAAAATGATAACGACATGTCTTCATTCGTATGAAATAGGCTCCCATCCAGTGTAAGAAGATTAAATTTCATCAGTTCTTGTGGAGCCTTAAAGCAGCACGCCTCCAGATGCATGCTAATTTTCATAAAACTTTTGAAAATGTCTTAAAATAGTAAATATTGTAAAGTGAACAAAGAAAGTGATTTACACATTGCAAACGGCACATACAATTTAGGTAAAGGTCAGAATATGCAAAAAGTAGCCCTTACTGCGTTAGTCACGCAGTAAAAATTATATGATTCATACTGCAGAATCAGTCCTTCATTGTCTCTAACATGTAAATTTTTACTTGAATAGTAAATATTTGTACTTCTCTTAGTTGATTTTCTTAAAACATTTTGGCTCATCTGGTGGCATGCAGCTTTAAATCTGTTCTGTTCTATAAATTGTGCTAGCAAAAAATCTTTTCAACGTAAACCGGAATTTTGTATAAGCGTTTAACAGTTAATTGTGGATTATCGTTCAAATTTTGCCTAAATAAACAGAAATTTATAAACCATTTGCAAACAAAAAGGACGGCATGTTTGTCATGTTTCGCTCCAGCTATTTAATTATACAACCGACTACAATGTAGAACAAGAAATAGCGCGACTTATTTATTATAAGTTCAACGGAAAACCCACTATAAAGTACTATAGTAATAAAAGTTGCAAGTGTTGGTTTAAGAGGATTTATTTAATTGCGAGGTAAGATGTAAATACCAGTATACATGTATAATAAATACTGGCCATTATGAGTATATTTCACGGTATGTAAAGAATTTAGCATATCATAAGTATTTTACATGTAATTTATTTTAAGATTCATTAGGTGGACCGAAGACATACCATATGTTATGCTATGCCCCAGCGTCAATTTAAATCTTCGTTTATATAAGCTATTTAAGATATACTATGCTAAAATTTGATATTAGAAAATAATGATAATTACTACACAGTTGCTTTGTAAATATAAAATAAACATGTTTTGACTTCACACAAAGTAGAAATGTTATGTTTTAAACTCTACATATTTTTCACTAAATTTCGGTGATTAAAATATTTTACGTAATGTTGATCATAGTATAGCTTGCTGAATTGTTGAAATAAGCATGCATTTAGTGCTGGTACAAAAACGGTGCCTGGAGATTCTGATAAGACTGTTGGCTTGGTCCGATACTGGTGGTATTTTATAAGCATTTTTTTTTCGGACAAAGTCCGTCTGTTATCAGTTTGACTTCATGTAAAATTAACACGGAAGGATTGAATATGAGAAGAATTGTCATTGTTCATTTTAAAAGTACAAACTGAAATCGTTGAATCTGTTTGATCATTCTAAAATAAAATGTAAAGGACAGTTTTAACCATTTTGAAATAAAATGTAAAGGATAGTTCTAAAATAAAATGTAAGGGATAGTTTTGCAACTATAAAATAAAATGTAAAGGATAGTTCTAAAATAAAATGTAAGGGATAGTTTTGCAACTATAAAATAAAATGTAAAGGATAGTTCTAAAATAAAATGTACAGAATTGAGTATTGTTCTTTAACTTCTAGTTTAATTTGTAAATGATTACAAAATTTATAAAGTCAAACGTAAAACAAGTAAAAGGGACACCTTAAATAGAATTTGTCCTACTTTGAAATTTAATTTCAATGTTTACAAAATGGGTATTTTTCTAGCTACATGAAATTATTATGATGTCATTGTAATGCAAGCATTGCTAACATTTCTTTTTGTATTGAAAACTTAGAAATAACGTAATTTTGCATGTTAACCAATTTTTTTACGGCCGAGTATCTTTTTTAAAGATACGTCTTGTTTATTTTATTTTATCTTATTTTATTTATCTACAATGTTTGTGTGTGAATATTGTTGGTAAAAAAAATAAAGAATGAATTATTGATAGAGGTAAAAATACGCAAATCCTAAGCAAAAAATGATCAATAAATAAAAATTGTTTTAACAAATCGATCGTCGATTTTTGTAGTTAACAAAGTAGACAGTATATCTAGATTTCCGTCACGATGGCGATGCGAAAAGATGGTATGCACTTTTAAGTATTATACTACTTATGGGGTTGTTTTATACTTTCCGTTTATAATAGGGGGCGGGTGAGTAATAATGTTTGCATTTTGAAAAATGAGAAAAAAATGTTCCGAATGGTGATTAAACTTTTAATAATGCGTATATTGATAAATAGTTGAAAACATACATGCAACGACTGGTCAGTTATATGTGTTATACAATATTATTAAATCGTTTTATACGATATCTGTAGAACTATCATCATACATTTCACATAACTTGAGCCGCGTCACGACAAAACCAACGTTATGCGTTTACGACCAGCATGGATCCAGACCAGCCTGCGCATCCGCGCAGTCTGATCAGGATCCATGCTGTTCGCTATCAGTTTCCTTTTTTTGTAATAGGGTTTGTAAGCGAACAGCATGGATCCTGATCAGACTGCGCGGATGCGCAGGCTGGTCTGGATCCATACTGGTCGCAAACGCATAACATTGGTTTTGTCGTGACGCGGCTTATTTATGTTCTTCTTGTCTAGTATGGCGCCATCAAGTGTTCTAATCACCGGAGCTAACAGAGGTGTCGGGATAGAGTTTGTACGACAATATGCTCAGCTTCAACCACAGAGTCCACGACATGTTTTCGCAGCTTGTAGATCCCCAGACTCCGCTAAGGTAGGATTCTATTCTATAACGCCACGATGCTTTATTTTGTTTCGTCTCTCGGTGTCACAAACTATTTTGTTTTTACCTACCTGTCTGCAAATTTTCACAGATTTGGTATATAATTGTATTTGTTTGTTTGTTGTTTTATTTTATTTGTTTTCTTTAATTAAAGTTTTAAAGCTAATACCTAAATTTCTGCAATGAGAAAAATACAGATATTTACTTCCGAACAGAATCATGCCTTGTTCAAGGACGTTGTCAGTAGATAGGATAGATATCGCTTTAAAATCAGATGAAATGCAACAAACAAAGCATAATACAGTACAATCCCACTAGTGAGACCGCTTGCTTTTCTGGAGAAAATTGTCTTAATATTAGGATGGTCTTAATTTCGGATTATTTAAAAAAGAAAGACTATTGTAATAAGAAGAAAAACATGCTTTCTTTGAAAAAGTGTTCGTAATAGCGAATTGGTCGTGAAAACGGGGTGGTCGTAAGGCGGAACTCTACTGTATTTGTAAATAAACATGTATACTGTTTTATTTCAGGATCTGAAAGATTTACAGTCCAAGTTTAAGAATATCACCATTGTAAAAATAGGTATATGATTATGTTTTTGTTATATTAGACATCTGCTTGCCGTCGTTTACTTCAGATATGAGTATTTTTGCGTAGCATAAAAACTGAGATCAGATTGGATATAAATGGCCAAAAAATAATTTCTATGCAAAATCCGCCAATATATTTCTCCTATTTAAACAATACTCATCGGTCTTTTACTGTGTGTTTTGCAGGCCATACTTCCTATAAGGAATAGTGTCATTATGTACAAAAAATGCATTTATTTACTAAACATTTTTTTCAAAGTTGGCTTTGTGAACTTTGAAGATTTATAAAAATCAGTCGCAATACGTTTTACCGGACCATGGCTTTTACTTCCAAATCAAACAGAGGTATATATCGTCTCTGTTATTGCACACGACATAGCAAATTGAATGACTTCATGATTTTTAAGGGGAATAACAATCAAAATGGTAGTATTCAAGCTTATCATGATATGCTGTAGTTGACAAATTATCTGAGCGCCTGTCTCACACGAAGCCATGGTAATACCTGGCGCACATCGAGGATATCTTTATACAATTTATGTATTAAATTTGATAAACTTGGTATATCACTCTCTAACATGATTTCAAATAATGTATGCATATAAAAACATCAGCAATAAAGTGCTTATAATTTATAAATAATATACACGAATTACATGTACATTTTACAGATTTAAACGATGAAACGACATTCATTTCTGCTGCAAAAACTGTTGAAGATATCGTTGGAGACGCTGGTTTGAATCTTTTGATAAACAACGCTGGTGTTGCAAATCGCTCGAGCCTTGATACAGTAACCAGTGACGATATGACTAGTCTTTTTAAAATTAACGCCGTGGGACCATTGCTGCTGACAAAAGTATGTAGATTTAAGCGATTTTTAATTAGTAAAATAAGGTTGTACTACTTTTCGTATATATAACATTATGTTACTAAATGTCGACGGTCAGGGAACTAAGGTTCTAGATACCTAGTACCTATGGTCAAATGTAAATTCTTAAAATAGAGACCAAATAAATATGAGCCGCGTCACGACAAAACCATCATAGTGCGTTTGCGACCAGCATGGATCCAGACCAGCGTGCGCATCCGCGCAGTCTGATCAAGATCCATGCTGTTAGCTTACCAACTCTATTACAAGTAGAGAATCTGATAGCGAACAGTATGGATCCTGATCAGACTGCGCAGATTCCATCTGTGTATGTTGGAACGCCATTCATACACAGGCGCAGTGCACGGTACAAGGTTGTTACATACATGAAGGACTACTTGTTGTTAAACAATTACATCTTTATTTCAGGCATTTCTTCATTTACTACGAAAAGCTGCGAGTAAGGACGGACCAGTGTCTAGTGATAAGGCGTGTGTTATTAATATAAGTACCGTGGTGGCATCTATAACTGAAAATGACACAGGAGGAGCTTACTCGTACAGAACTTCTAAGGTTGGTTAAACTTTATGATAGATATTAAAATGCTTATAGGGCCAGATAATCTCTGCTCAAATTGTTGCAGAGATAGCTTTCCTCTATCTGTGTACCGTGGAAACAGCCAGCACAACTATAGTAGATCCAATCTTTTTTCACAACAACTGTAAGTAAAACTGACGACTACAGATATTCGTAAATAACTCGAGGAGGGGGATGAAGGCATACTTCCTGTTACACCATGTTCGTTTATAATCTAAAATTGTTCCATATATACTTGAATATGTTAGATATTCGTGCGTTTTTAAGTTTGAATATGTCATGTAAAATGGTCTTTCATTTGTATATTGTATTGCACGATTATTTTATTTATTTGTATACTAAATATACCTTTGAACTAACATTTAATGCACATGTCATTATGTACATATATTCAGGCTGCCCTCAACATGATCACGAAAAACCTAAGCATTGATTTGAAGAAGGACGGCATCCTGGCTGCTGCGATACATCCAGGTTGGATAAAGACAGATATGGGTGGACCAAAGGCTACGACCGAGGCGTCAGATTGTATTAAAGCCCTCCTGAAGGTCATCGAGTCTATCAATACTGAAGAAGCTGGTGGAAAACTATATCATTATAGTGGAAGAGTTATGGCATGGTGAAACAGTTTCAAATCCAGACTTCTGACATTTTTTGAATAACTTAATACGCTTGCTTGGGTGATTTAATCGTGATGACTTGTTGAAATAATAACAAACTCTAATTTCAACATTTAACATGCTTTGACAATTGTAATACGAAATCATGTTTCTATTTCTGTGGACTTTCTAAAACGTAGAGTGGTTTAAGATGCTTGGAATATTCAGCATTTGAAAGTACGATCATTGCTGGACCAAGTTAAAAGTTCATAATAAATAATTTGAAAATGAAAAGAGAGAGATCAAATGACAAATAAAAGAAGGATGAAAATGATGAAATATCATGTCTTTTCACTTGCATCCTATCATTCTATGTTGCTGATTCTAATTTAGCATTCATCATAAAATAGAGTCATCAGTAAGATGTTCTATATTAATAATAAAACATCAACAAAAATGATAACACTACAAGATAACATTACAACAATTACAAACCTGAATAAATATTCAAACCGACTTCTATTATAGCATATTATCGAAATAATGATCAGCATACCGTATATGCATGAAGGTGTTTGTCATATTACAATTTACATTACTTTCCATTACCTTGACATTTCGAGTGTCCCTAACTTCAAGACATACCATTACCTCGCCATTTTCAAGGTTCACATAACTTACATTGCTTCCCATTACCTCGCCATTTCAAGGTTCACATAACTTACATAACTTTCCATTATCTGGCCATTTTGAGAGCCAAATAACTTACATTGCTTCATATTACATCGCCATATTGAGGGTCACATAACTTACATTACTTCCCATTAAATCGCCATATTGAGGGCCATATAACTTACATTACTTCCCATTACCTCGCCATATTGAGGGCCAAATAACTTACATTACTTCCCATTAAATCGCCATATTGAGGGCCACATAACTTACATAACTTCCCATTACCTCGCCATTTTGAGGGCCACATAACTTACATTACTTCCCATTACCTCGCAATTTTGGGGGACACATAACTTTCATTACTTCCCATTACCTCGCCATTTTGAGGGCCACATCACTTATATAACTTCCCATTACCTCGATTTGGGCTAGCTTCGAAATCTGAGTACATATATATACGCAATATTCTATGAAACACAGGAGCGTTCTTTCAAATTGTTATTTTAATATTTTTCGACTTGTTTATTTAGGTAAGTCTTGTACATATTGATGGACGGTTGTAGTACTGTATTTTGCAAGCTCTGTCCACTCCCGCTAGAAGCGGTTTAAGCAGAACATGAAAATCGTTTAAACTTAAGAATTTGGAAGTCACAATAAACACTGTAAAACACCATATATGGACACATGAGAAAAAAAACCCTGACAGATTCCTCACAAAAGAATACAAATCTTTTCTGTGATTCTATTATATTTACAATGTCAGTATTTATTAAAATATACTTATCGCATATTCATGCTGCTTTTGAAACTCTGTAAAAACGATATAAACGGCTGTGCATTTGTGAAATTTAGCGCAGTAAGACTTAATAATCTCTAGAAGGGATATCTACTTATACATTTGTGTGTGTTTGTGATACTTTTTGTCTTTTTTTCCATAATTTGAAGGGATCACAATTAAACCAAGGCTTAAAGTTAGATTATATGAAATCTATTGACAAATAATTCTCATTTATCTAAGGTTTACAAAATTTATCTGCTGAAAAAAGAAAAATATCCAAGGGCAGAAATCAAAGAGATTCCAGATACAGCAAGTCCCAGGGTTTTCTTTCCAAATCTGAAGAGACAGGCGTTGTTATCGAGCTTCTTTGTAATGTCGTCATCCATTTGCCCTGTGGAATCTTTCTCGCGAATGATTTCATTTCCTGAAATATATGTGACATTGCTTACATATCAATATTGAACGTAGTGTAAATTATGTTCAGTATAATAAACAAAAAATGAATTCAATTAAAAAGTTTAGTAACAAGCATTTTGCTTAGAAAGGTACGTAAAGAAATTCAACAGAAAATCAATATCATATAAGGCATGCGTTTTGTTTTTACAATATGAAATTTGGCTCCTCCCTGTAGGGAGCTAATTTTTAAAGAGTAACGAAATAAAGAATAGAAAACTTTGGCTTTATGACCAAGACATTAAAATAGTACCTGAAATATCGTTGTTCTCTGTTACGCGTGTAGAGTTGCCGCTGTCCTTTGTAGCACCTGCAACGTCATCCTTGTCCTTTGTAGCACCTGCAACGTCGTCCTTGTCCTTTGTAGCACATGCAACGTCGTCCTTGTCCTTTGTAGCACATTTGAGGTTGTTGTTTTCATTTGAGCTTGAAATATTATCATTGATCACTGCAACACTTGGGACGGTAGCACGTAGTGCGTTGTTATTTTCTGTTAATACTGGAGGGATGGTGTCGTTCTCTTGGCCACTATGAACGGAATTTGTTATCTTAACAGCAAAGTTATCATTGCTTATGTACTTTGTAGCACCTGGAGATTTGTTGGTCTTCTGTGCAGCACAAGGAGTGTGAGTGTTGCTTTTTGTTACATGTGGTGGGATATCCGGGCTGACGTCTGCTCCAGTTTTGATAATATCTGAAAAATTGTTATCGATTTAAATGTCAAACTAAGAACAATCACTTAGGTAATTCAATATATCAACAAGTGGGATAAAAATTTAATTCCGATTTAATTTGTAGTGCTTTATAGAGTAGATTTAAAGTCCTTTAAAGAAATTAAAGACAATTACTAAGCCTTTATTACCAATATGCACTTCATTTTCCAAATAAAAGTTCTCTATATCTCTAAATATCTTGAAAGAATTGTCACAACTTTAGATTGTCTTGTATAATATCAACTATATACAATGTATTTCAATGTGGAATCCCTTTATTACCCACGCTCTTATCACTAAGATACCTCTGTAGTTGTTAATATATGAATAAAAATAAAGGCAACATACCGTCTGTGTGAACTGTGGCAGGTTCCATTCTTTTACAATGTATCAGCCCAATGTTTCGTGGTGGCACGTATTTTGAAGGGTTTTTGATTTTTGGCACAACAAAGCCTACTTTATCTGCACGTGGAATATTGAGACTTGGCACGTGAAATGTTTCCTTCCGTCCTACAGATGGCGCTGGGCAATTATGTTCAGGGTTTGCTGCAATGATTTATCATACTAATGTGAAAACCTATTATCATAAAATTGATTGTGTGTAATTAAGTAAAATAATTATAATAATATCATTATATAGATTATTTGAAAATTTTATGAACAAATTATCAGAATGTTGTTGTTTACTGCTAGAGTGAAATACATATATGGAATATATTTTTACCCAACATGATATAATTCCATTTACATCCACGAGTCGGAACAGGAGTGAAAAACAACATTTATAATTTAGTTTCATCATGATAAGTGAAAATATATTCCATATTTCACGAAATACGAGAAAAAACTTTAAATTTAATTTAACTTGTAGTTATTTAAGAAAAATTCCCATTTGCTACACAGTTTTAATTGAACATATCCGAATAATTTCTTATAATGAAATGAATTATAGCTGAAGCTACTAACTGTCACAGAAAAAAAAATATTAACAGATCATGGACACAACTTTTAATATCAAAGAAGGGATTGATATGTTTGATATAATGCATATATTTAAAATGATAAATGAATTAAAAATGGTATGTTTAATTCGATCATCGAAAGAGAGGTAAAACTGTACCTTCTTTTCCAGCAAATGCTGTTTTGTTGTATGTATGTTCCACCATTATTGGATGCTGACCAATATATATCGTATGAGGCGTTGTCGATTCAATATCAACCACCTTTCCTGTACATGATCTAACAACTAAAAACTTGTAATTCACGAAACTGTCCTTGGGAAGCCTTAAATATAAAACATGACAATGGTTTTGAAAGTTTTTTTGACAGGTTATTATCTGGAGCTAAATGTTAAATGAAGATGCTTTGTTTAAGCAACCCAGGGAGCCACGGTTCTGATGACTAGTTTTATTACAATGAGGTATTATTGAACAATCTTTCAATAATTTGGATATTATAAATTTTTTAGAAACCATTTGGTATCTAGAAAAATCTCGAATGACTACCCAGATGTGTTGTAAAGGAAAATACTGTTATTTTGAATGAAACGAAGAGCTGTTCTGCGATTTGTGACGGTTAGCAAAATAAATAACTTTTTTTTTGGCGTTTAGACATATTTGTTATAAAACCTACCACAAGTCCTTCTCCCAAACGTTACGCCCAATAGGTTTGCATCTTGGAGCAATTTCGGGGTTATCATTGCCAAGTTGAATGCCCGGACCGACCACGGCTACAAAGTAGTCATTTGCCCCTCCCGGATAACATTCTAGAGACTTGAACACCCGGAGTTGTACTTTCACCTTATCATTTCTTGTTGATGTCATCTGTGAATATATAATATACAAAGTCAAGATGTTGCTGACTATCAATAAACATTATATTGTTGTCATTTAACTATAAACTTTCCTAAATCATTGTAGTATGAAAGGTATATGGTAACTTTACAAAGCAAATAAACTTATTGATTTAAGCAAAACCGGTTTAACTGCTACTAGATAGTTCCGTGGTCTGGATTGGAACTGACTGATGTTTACACGACCGTTAGAAATTTGGAAATGTTCAGTTCAGGGTTATGTCATTCAAATCAAACAAATATTAATATATGAATGCAACAAACTGAGTCCAATTTTTTCCGGTTATTTTATACATATATAGTATTTACACGTATTTTGGTTTTATACATGTAATAATTTCATTTGAATTAATATCTAACGTCATTGGCTGACACAATAAGTTATGGTTGTTTGTTATTTTAGCCAATTGAACTGCAAAATAATGTAAATTCTTGTAATTTAAAATATTTTTTATATAATGTAAACACATATATATTTACAAAATATTACATTATCCTTACCTTTAAGCATGAAAGTCTTCTAAAACATTTAAATATGTTGACTGAAAGAAAACTCGTCTGTATAGCTCACGCTATGTTAACTTTGAATAACGTTAATCATATGGAAACAACGTAACGTTAATGATTAAAATATGGAAACAACGTATTCTCGAGACGCCATTTTATATTAGACCTGCTGAATTTTAACAGGGGGGAAACCAAATGAAAAAGCGAAGGGCACATGAGCATGATTATAGGAAAGCCTGTGACGAGATTTATATCATTTCTAAAAGTTAAATATAAGTTTATTTGAAATGACAAAGAAATTTTATCACGTAATACG